CACACCAGACCTAATTGTTTTTATACCATATTCTGGGGTGCACCAAAAAGTTGAAATACATTTAAAATAGCTTGAAACTTTTCTTGAATTTCCTTGAATTTTATTAACCTCTCAGCAGGCTACCAAATAGCTGAGTGGGTTTCTTTTCACAGTCACACTGCTTAGTTAGTGCTTATTTGTTAATATTTCTCTTTCAGAGAAGTTGCTTAATCTTCCATATACTCTGCTCAGGGCACTTGCAATTTATTGTTTCGTTTTGTTTCCTGTTTTGTTTTTAAGCTTTGATGGTAAAGGAATAGAAAGAATTACAAGTTTTAATTCACAGTCGTACCACTATTTCCATGCTTCACGTGTACTCGGGAAAAGAGAAATAATCTCAAGTAAAACCATATGCATACACATTTGTGGTTAATAAGGAAGCAGGGGCCTTTAAACTGACTGGATCTATTCAACTAACACTAAAAAAAAAGTATAAAAAATAATAATAATAAAAAACCAAGTTTGGAGCAATAGGAATGTATTAGTTCTGTGCTTGTATTTCAGACTGAGGAATTCTAAAATAACTGGTTCTTTCCAAACAGTTGTCCCTTTCCATGCTTTGGCTTTTGTAGGATGTGCAATACTTTATGTGCCAACTTAGACTCACCCGTGTGGTGGTAGCAGATCTCATACCCACTTCTGATCTCCCCTCATTTTGTTCTTTTTTTGAATAGTTTTTCTTTCTACCTTTTTTTTGATTCCCTATTAATAACTCCGTTCCTGTGTTGTCGTCGCCCCCCCCCCAAGAAAAGAAAACATATTAAGGGTCAAGCATCCCCTGCCCCGGAAAACACAAACCTTTTTTGTATTGGATGATAAAAAAGATCCAGGAAAAAAAAAAACAAAGGCAAAAACATAAATGTATTGATGTCTGCGTGTCATCCAGGTGGAGTGCGGCTGAGTGCTGTATGGCATGCAGACAAATCCTGGCTCCCATCAGGGAGAGATAAGCCCCCTGGAGACCAAGTCCTTTGCAAGGTGGTGGCTTTGCCTCTCCCCAAAGCCCCGAGCATCCCTTGCAGTGAGTCCCCACGCCTGGGAAGTTCCATCAATCCCTGGGTGCACGCAGAAATTCCAGTCACTGTTGTAGAGATGCTGAGGCGAAGCCCAAGGAGGAGGTTGAGCCGCTGCTTCTGCAGCATCTGCTTTGCAATAGTAACTGACAGTAGTTTTCTTTGTCTTTCTGTCTTTTTTTCCTTTCTTTCTTTTTGTAGCAGGCCTGTTTAGTTTACAACGAAACGCATACAATCACCAAGAAATTAGTCAGGGCAAAGAAAAATAAAACAAGAACCTCTTTATAGGGATTTCTAAAAAAGAAAATTATCTATCTGTCTATCTAGCTAATCTATCTATATATCTATATATATATAAAATGACTGTTCCTTATAGTGTTTAACTTAGGCATTGTTTCAGTTTGTCTGGGCCACATCACGGGGGATTTGAGTCTGATGTCACTTACCTCGAGGCCTCTGGTCGAGACCCAAACCGGAGTTGCTGTTGACCTATATTCTCATTTCATACGTTGCCCTTGGGCTGGCTTTTCCTTGAAGACGCAGGCCTCGGGAGGAGGGGGGGAGACACCTTCCTTTTTTTATTCCTTTAATTCCTTCGTCCCGCTGTTGCTTTGTTCGACCTGTCGTTCCCGTCATTTTCTCGCCATGGGGAAGTGACATCACTACTCTCGTTTCCCTTAAATCAAGGAACATTTAGAAACCTTTCACACCTTTTACTCAGGGATGGGGCTGGCATATGTGTGGTACACTGATGTGACCAGAAGCAGCACTTTTACTGCTCCGGAGTAGGGATGTACAATGTTAAAGACAAGTTTGGATTTCCTGCACCTCATGGTTTTAAACTTTGTAGATCTCACTTAGATTGCAATACAAAAGCAGCAGGCTTAGCGTGAACTGTAGCTGTCGGTAAATCACGAAAATTCACTTTCTGCAGAGATTTATTTTATTTTAATGTGTGTTGCCAATAGTAGAAAGGAAATGGTGAAATGCTGTTAATTCTTGCAACTGCTAAAAAAAGAAGCCTGTATCAAGGACAGCAAATCCTTAATAATTTTAAACACTAACAACAGTGTTATTTTAAAGAGGGGGCCTCTTGGGGCAGTGCTCTGTGCATCCTGGGACCCCGTTCTGCAAACACTTACACACGCGCATACAGGGAGTCCAGGCTGGCCGGTCAGGGCTGCTCAGGAGCTCACTGTGAAGCACGTGTGTAAATCTTTGTGAAACTGAAGCTTGGTTCAGTCAGGGCCAGATCCTGACCATAATCAGACAGATGGAAGAGACTTGGGGTTCATCCAGGCTCGCCAGGGCGGAAGCCCCAGACTGGTAGGGGGGATTCGGCCTATTGAAACACTTTGCTGTCCTAGGAACTCGACAAAGGGTGAAACAGGACGTGCTCTTGTACAAATGATTTCCATTTCTTCCCTCCCCATCACCACAGGTAACAGCAGGGTCCGCTCTGGGCTCTGGCCAGTGCTGATGCGACAGGCAAGGGGATGAAGGCACCACCAGAGTGCAGGCAGTAATTTCCCTTCCTCTGGTTTATCCAACCCTCCCACCCCCACAAATCCTAAATCCATAGCAAAATGAGAACTTGTTGATGCAGATCCGCATTCGTGCACACACACCTCCCCAGACAGAAGCGTCTGTCTGCACATGAATAAATGCGTGTGATTTGTTTTGGCACGTATGCCTACGTGTCCACTTGATTCCCTGTCCTGAGGACAGCCTTGCTTTGTGTCCATAGGGGAACTCCAAACACGTTGCACACCTCTACTCCAGAGTTCAATTTCTTTTACATAGACGACCTCGCTTCAGATGTGTTACCTTTACTGATAGGATCTTTTCTTGTAGCACTATACCTTGTGGGAATATTTTTTGATGTAAACCTAATTTGAGAAGCTTATTAAAAATAGAAACTTTTTTTGAAGCACTCACATTGAGGAGTACAGGTAATGTTTTAAACAATTGCACAAAAGAAAAATGAATGTTGGAATGATTCATTCAGTGTTTGACAAAGAGATGGCTCTGTTTGAACAGTGAGTTTCATACCTTGTTTGTAAAAAAAAAACAAAAAAAGTTTTTAAATACAAAAGCAGAGAAAGGTTGAAAGTTTCATGTTTTTTGTATATAGAAAATGTCATGTCTAGATGATCTGATTTGTATTGGCTTTGGCCAGGAAGAATTATTACTTAAAAGGCTCTTAAAGAACAACTGTGCTTAATTTTCTGTTCGTATTACATGGGTCCCATTTCCAGGGAATGGAGTCATGCTTCATACTGTTTATTCCTGTGCTGAAATATACCTTGGAGCAGCAATTCTTGAGTGCAGCTACCGGGCACTTCAAGGGTGGCTAAGCGTGCACAACCAGAGTCTCACTCTCCAGCTCTGTTTTGGCTTTAAGTCTCTCCTGCCTGTGCTGAGGGAGCCCCGGCAGCCCACAGGGCATGGCCAGGTTTGAGGGAGGCCTTGGCTGTGCCTTCACTGGCACCAGGACCTGGGCCATGGCTGGCAGTGCCGCAGCAGCCCTTGGTTGGAGAGCCGCTGCTGGCTGAGCACAACCTTCTTAGTTCCTGCCTGAAAGCTTTCGGTCCCGTGTTTTTTATCTTCTCTCTGGGATGCTGTTCCATGTTTTTTCAGCACTTCCTGTTCCAGATGAAACCCAAAGAGTATAACCCTGAGCAAGAAGTGCTTATAGCAAGGGATCCTAGCCCAGCACTGGCAGCAGGGTGATACCTGAGGTGGTCCAGCCTTGCAGCATCTGTCACTGCCCCACTCACCTCTGTGTTAGAGCCGCTCATGCAGAGCACGTTTCCAGTGATGATGGTCTTGAGCAATGGTGAGACTGGTGTTTTTCAGAAGCCAAAAGGAGAGGATCCTGGAGCAGTTTCTGAGGAGAGAGAGGGTCCTTTTCCTGTCCAAAGATTCAGCTGGGCAGCTGGGAGCCAGCAGCAGGGCAGCTGGGCTCTGAGGTTGCTCCCGTTCCCCTCCCCAGAGGTAACCCAAGCTTTGGCTCCCATAGGCATGCAGGGCAAAAGTACTTGCCCTGTCCAGGTGGTCCCTGGGCGCTCAGAAAGCCAGCCCCAGTTGTGTTACAATGAAGTGCATTCAGCCAACAGGTAGTATTTATACAATAACAGTCTCTAAGGTTTCTGTAGTTTTTTTTCTTGTCATTATCTGAAAGGACTCAAGTCTTCCACTGAGGATTTTATGATGGAGGCTTCATCCAAGGTTGTTTCCTTTTTGTTCATTTCTGTTTTGAGCAGTCAAAGCTCCTGTGCCCTTTCCCTCGACCATGCAGTAGGTATGCATTGGAAGTGTTGTTTGCAGCCAGCGTTAGGCACTTGTTGAAGCCGTCACTGCTGTACTACTATGGGATTGCTTGAAACCTCAGGGCTGGGATCCTTGGCTGGCACAGAGCCGGTGTGGGACCGCCGGCTCCCTGGACAGCCCCGCTCTGCCCCTTCGCACCAGCCAGTGTGGGGATCCCTCCCTGGTGTTTGCTTTAAAACTCGAGGACCCGCGTGCTCTCTCGCTGACTACGCTCTGCAGAACTCCTGTCCCAGGCAGGCGAGTGGGACCTGTGTCACTGGGGGTGGCTGGGTCTGTGTCCTCTCCCTGGCCATCGCACTGGCCTCTTGGCGAAGTTACTGATCTGTTAAGGCATAGATAGGACTCTTCACGGCAGTCAGCTGATGTTGAAACTCACTAATGTTGGATTTCTCTTTTTTTGTTTTTTTTTTTTTTTTTTTGAATAATATATTAACGTTGAACGCTGCTCTTTTGGCAGTGTTACAGTGGGGGGGGTGGGGGGTGGGGGGTGGGTGTCCCAACCTTTTTCAGTTCGGGTGAGCTACTGAAAACCATTTTGTACTAGCTATGTCACCACTCCCGGCGCTTGGCCATGCCGGGTCAGGTTTAGCCATTCTACAGCAGCAGTTTTTAAAGTCTTTTTTTTTTTCCTTTTCTTTTTTTTAATTAAATTGTCTGGTATTACTAATGAGGGTTCTTGCAAATCCCACTTCCAGTGTAGTTCCTAGGGTAGGCCCAGAAAAAGGGATATCGCAGCTTTGTGTTGGGGAGAAGTTGAGCTGACATGGCCAGTACAAAGGAGAAATAGGGAGGGAATAACGTTTTGCACCTTATTGAAAAGAGGAGAAGATTTTAAGTGCATACAGACATAGTTAAGAGCTTTTATTGTGACAGGAGAACTTTTTTCCATATGCGTGCATACTCTCTGTAATTCCAGTGTAAAATATTGTACTTGCACTAGCTTTTTTAAAACAAATATTAAAAAAAAATGGAAGAATTCATATTCTATTTTCTAATGGTGGTGTGTCTATTTGTAGGATACACTCGCGTCTGTTTATTGAATTTTATGGTCCCTTTCTTTGATGGTGCTTGCAGGTTTTCTAGGTAGAAATTATTTCATTATTATAATAAAACAATGTTTGATTCAAAATTTGAACAAAATTGTTTTAAAGAAATTGTCTGTATACCAGTACAAGTTTATTGTTTCAGTATACTCGTACTAATAAAATAACAGTGCCAATTGCAAGCACATGTTCTGTCTTTATCGCTTCCGACTGAATGGGAGAGCTTTCCTAGGGACGTTATTTCCCCAGTTTAATCCCCACCTCCCAGCAACCCATTTCATACAGCCACAGAATGGTTCGGGTTGGAAGGGACCTTAAAGATCACCTAGTTCTAACCCCAGGGTTGAGAGCACAAATGCTCTCAGATGCATTTGAGAGCGTTGCATTTGCTTTTATTCGCAGTGATGCAGAAACAGAGACGTAGCCATTCACGGGCATAAAACCCTTTCCAGACCCTTAGAGAGAAGCTCTTTATTGTGTAACAAAAACTTTCCACTTACAACTTACGAACACTTTCAGGGACATTGCCACGCGCGGTTGCTCCCGGTGAGGGTCAGCAGCGCCCACCATCACCACCTCAGCAGGGCCAAGTGGGGCAGGAGAACACTGAATACTTGTCAGCTCTTTTTGACCGATTACATGCAAGTACTTCACAGTCATCACAGGCAACACCAAGGGGTTTGGGACTCTGAACTGTTTATTTATGTATGAAAACTTCAACCAGTAAACACTGTTATCAAGTAAATGCTGGGGAGGGCTTGCTTAAGCACCTGAATGAGCACAAGCAAAGCAAAGGCTGCAGCAGGATGGCCCATGCTGTGCTGAAGGGCGCAGAGCTGTGCCTGCATGCAGCCTGGACACAGACATGCGGCTCCAAGCTGCAGAGAAGGGCCTGGCCTGCTCCCACTGCTGGCTCTGGCTGCTGCAGAAGGCAAATGGCTGTCCCTGGGCCTGAGCTTTTTGTTTTTCTCTCTTCTGCAGAAGCAAGGCCAAACCTGGTGCTGGTTGCAAAAGCCCTCCTGGCTCCAACAAAGACCTTTTGGTACAAAAATGGCATTAGCAACTAAAACGCAACATCCCCAGGTGGCAGGGTGGGAGGTGGTGATGGACAGACACTGCACTAACGCTGGCAGAAAGCTGAAGGAAGTCTGTTCAAGATGGGTAACTCAATCGGCACAAACCAGGGAGTGCTTGGTTCAGGAAACGCTTCAAACTCTCATTATCTCCCTGACCAGAAAACCCCAGCCCCTGGCCCAACACAGTGGGGCTTGGCTAATTGCTGCTGTGTTTCTTGCACACACTCCTCCTTTCTCCCCCTGCTTTTACTAGCTGAAGGGAAGATACAGGCACACTTTGTCTGAGATAAGCTCCTCCAAATGTGAGCAGCAGCTCCTCCTGCTCCTACTTAAAACTCAACTCTTCTTACTTACAGGGTGGCCCCAACCCACATTCAGCCCCACCATGTCCTAAGGTGAGAAGGCAGCTGCAGAGAAGAGCACAGCCAAAGCCCCTGCCTCATGGGGGAGAAGGGAGAGGCCCAGACCCCCTGGTCCCTGCACTTGTTTCTTTCAGAGAAAGGAGACCTGGGAGGCTCGGTTTGCAGCTGGCAGGGTGCTGGCCCAAGGCCTACTCCTCCAACAGGCTAGCCTCAGGCCCACAAGGAGGCCTACACACGCGCTCCTCGCAGCCACCACACAGGCACTGGGGTGTGAGCCAGGCTGCTGCCATGCCAAGACCTTCCTGCCTGTGAAGGGGAGCACCCAGGTAAGTCAGGCTGCATGGGCAGGAGAGCCAGTCAGCCCTCCCGGACAAACACCCTGCAGCAGGGAGAGTCCAGAATATGGCTGTGAGCAGGAGGGCTGGTTTGGGTGTCCTTAGGTTTCAAGAAGCCGGAGATGGACACGCTCAGCACAGATTGCTTTAATGACATTAGCCCTTTTCAGCATCCCCACTTGTAGGTCTTCGGCATGTTAAACTAAATCACTGTGGAGCCAGTGGGCCAAACCTTAACACAGCTCTAGGGTGCTCAGCAAGTGCCTGGCTGGGGAAAGCTGGCATGACCTTGGGCTACATCATGCAAGCAGCAGGTTATCCCGCTCACAGCATTCCTCTAGACATGATGGGGTTGGGGCGGGGTAGGGAATCACTTAACACTAAACGCTTACAAATGTCATTTACCACAGAAGGACACCAAGTAACACAGAACCCAGTTAAATGTGCAGGTGAGGTAGATCCACAAATGGCACGTGGTGTTTGTCAGTGGTTGCGGTCTCTTCTCAAACCACCCTGCCGGGCGCAGCATGCCCTCAGCTCCCCCACTGCCCCAGCTCCTGTGAGAGCCACACCAGGCTTGAGTAGGGCACAGGACCTGGGGCTAAATGAAGGACAACTGCTACAGCACAGGACTGGATGTTAAAGGAGGGCTCAGGCTTTTCTTTTTTTCAGTTTTCCAGCCTGAGAGCTGACATGTACAGTGTCAGTGGTGAGCACTGACACGGTTGAGGGTTATCCCTGAACAAAACTTGCATATAACCTTCGGTGAGATGCAGACATGCCACCACGTCAGCCCTTCTGCAGCCACTCTCTACCCCTCACTCACTTTGGAGTGAGAAGGAGAAAATGAAATGGAAAGAAAACATGCTGCTTATCAAAATGATGGGAAGAGCTGCTATTCAGAAAACCAAATAACCCAGGTCAAAGCTTTACCAGTAACTATCCTTAGCATCAATGTCATTCACAGCCTGGAGAATTCAGGGGACAACTTCAGTGGAGCCTATCCCCATCCCTCCCTACAGTCCCTGGTCAGTCAGAGGTATGTGTGAAAGGGGAAGGCAGGTGGGTGCAGAAGTGGCCCCAGGAAGAGCTGCATGTACATGTACAACCTGCCTGCGTGGGAGGCTCCACGCCTGCCGCACCTGCAGAGAGGCAGTCTCCCCATGCCCCAGTGCCTGCCCTTTGGAAAAGAAATGGCTCCAAAGACCTGTCACGAAGCTGCTCCATTCAATGTGCGTATGGAGGTTTTAAAAAATGTTTACAAATATATATTTTTATATGCATCCCTTAAACTCTTGTTTAGAAATGTAGCTAAAAAAAAGTAGAAAAGCGCTAGCCAGAGTAGGCGGAAGACAGCAGACTGCGGCTCTTCCCACATATGAAGGCACGAGCGTGGAAACACACCTGTGGTCAGGCCTGCACCACAATGGTCTAACCCCACTGCTGACGGAGGTGTTCACCCTACCCTTCATATCACATTAAACAAAGGAAAGGTGACCTCCTGCAGCTGTACTGATGCAGTGTTAATACTGCCTGTCCTCTGGGCTTAATGCAGGTGAGAGCAGTATGTAGCACACGGTAGGGTTTGTGGTAAACAAACCTGGTATCTTCCTAACTTGGTATTTTCAGGCAGGAGAGAATAGCGATCAGGTCCTTTATTCACAGGGCCTTCTTCTCTTCTGCCTTCAGGTTCCTTTATGATATGTGGGCAGGAGAAAGGGTCCTTAAAGCCAGCACAAGCATAAATCTGTGCTTTATACTAAGGCCCTTATCCACATCCAAAGCCCAGGAAGGGGTCATACCACACTTATGTCCTGCATGTTAGATGGAAGATATTTAAAATACCAGGCTATTTAGAAGATGTTCTGTGCTTTTTCTAATGTGGACAACACACTCTAAAATCACCAGGGATCAGCTTGTGGCCTAGATTTGCTCCTCAGCATGGTCAATTGTACCAGTCCTTGTGCGTGGCTTTTTGAGATGTCCAGCAGATGAGTTTAATTCTAGAGTTTCTTTTTGCTGTTCCTCTTCCTGCAGATCACTCTTTTGCTTTTCAAAGGAAGCCTGCCTCTTCCCACAGATGTCTATAGGAGGGGAAAGAAGATTCTGCAGTACTGAAGTAACATTAGCTCTATTATGATCTCAGCAGCACTTTAAAGTAAGTGGCCAAGCATTATTAATTCATTGGTGCTCACTTTCACATCATTTATCATAATGAGCTTCTACAGTACTCATGTGGATGCAATGTGTATTTCCAAAGAAATTTCATTGTGATTTATCTATTAATTAGTGGGCCATTACACTTTATTGAAGTGTTACCTTAAGCATTCATTACTGCCTTCAGAGCAAATGCTTTAACTTCAGCTCAGCCTATCAGTGTCAGGCTATTCTGCCAAAAGCTCTTTTGCTTTTCATGGTGTCAAGCACTGCAAAGGACTGGTACCAAATAACCAAAGTGAATCTGATCCCTCTGGCCGCATTCACCTGGCCACACACAATGCACAGCACAGCATTTATGTATCTTTGCTAAATGGCTATGAATAGGCAACGGAACAGTGAGGGCTACAGAACACACACACCCCCTCGCCCCGGTGAGGTTGACGTTGCTGAGTTTCAACGTCTTAAAAATCTGTTCACAGAGAGCAGATAAAAGCAAGAACCCAGGTAATTCAATGGCTGCATGCATGAAAAAGCAGGCAAGCTCTGAGAGGTTTTCTCCTGAACCATCTCCACAGATGGGGTCAGAGAAGACAGTACAGGTTAGCTGCATTCACTGCCAGCTTCTCTGGAGAGGCAAGTCCATTGAATAGGGAGATTTAGGTAAAAGTGACAGTACCAGCCCTGTGAACTGGCCGTGACAGATCTGGCATGTTTATCATCACAGTAAGAAGTCCCCAGCAGTCAAGCCTGATCCACCTCTGAAATTCTGCAGGCTGGCAGCAATGCCACAAACAGCCCTTCTTTCACCACAACAAAGATAAGGAAAATTGGATTTTTGGTTTCTCCACTCAATTCCTTGCGTCTTTTTCTCTCCCAGTCTGTAATTTCTGGAGGGTGCACTGCCACAAGTGGTGGTAGGTGACAGGTCAGTCTTAAAAAAGGGAATGTGTATGTATGCAGATCTACTAGCCATGTCTGTACAAGCCAATTCCTTGTTAACTGAGGTTTCAACAGCCATTTATCAGAAGGGGGAAAAAACAGGTGAAGAAATGCTGACTAAAAAATAAAATAGGCACCACAACAAAAGATGAGGCTATTGCATTTAGAAACAATGGCACTGTCTTAACAGCATAACCTTCCCCTTCCAAATCCCAGCCATAGCCCCTCCAATGGCTATGACACTGCCATTCTGAGAGAGAGTTTGCCACTAACACAACAAGGAAGAGAAAGCAAAACAAAACAGCAGCCCTTCCTGCTCCTCCCCACCACCACTCTCTCTCCAGTTCCCCAGTCCGGGGCTAAGAGAAGACCTGGCTGTGCTGCTGGGTGACTCTGATAAACGTCGTTCTCCTGCTCAGTTCCTTCAGCTTGGCAGCTCCCACGTAGGTGCAGGTGGAGCGCAGCCCCCCAAGGATGTCCAGGATGGTGAGTTCCACATCCCCTCGGTATGGTACCTCCACAGTTCTGCCCTCAGAAGCTCTGGAGAAGAAATAGGTTACTGCATTTATGTCTAGATGTGAAATGTAATAGTGTGTTTACTGGAGCAATGTGGAGCTTAATACTGCAGTTTACAAATGTTCCCCCAGCTTTATTGCTTGCTTGTCTGTTGCTGCTTGGTGCTCTCAAGCACTGAAATGCCTCAGCTCCCGTTACCACCAATACTGTGAACTAGAAGCAGACAAATATTGTAGATGCCCCAATATCCCATGTGTATATTGACAGATCTGCCCCTTCCTGCCCTCCACAAACTGCCTACAAGCAAGTGAAGCTTCCAGGTTTACTGAAAGACAAACTTGACCTTGAGAGCTGCAAGCTTTAAAGTATAAAGAACAGCCAAGCTCAGACAGCTTACAGAAACGTTGAAGTCTGCCTCAATCAGCAGAGCTCTACAAAGGCTTCACAGCTCCTGGGCTATCTGATGTCACTGACCTGACACAGATGGAACTGCTCTGGCTGTCTCTTACCAGCCCACAGAGCCCACAGAGATGGAGTGGGAAACCTGCTGCAGAACTGTCCCCTGAAGCTAAAAGGTGAGCTAGCAGAGCTCAGAGTCAGGCAAAAAGGCCAGAAACAATAGCAGTGCTGTGAATACTGTCAGGTATGGGCACATGCCAGCACACGCTGCACAGTTCCCAAAAACACATCTGAAGAGTGTATGACGGAAGAATCCAGGCAAGTAACTCCTTCCCCTTCAGCTTTCACCAGCCCCATGTTCAGCAATCCATCCTGCAGTAGAGTTCACCAGTCACCAGCTGATCTCACTAGGCTTTAGAGCAAGCTTGTTCTGCATGGCACACCTGCGCCCTTGGAGAGGCAGGCCTTGGAAAGGGGGGCATCAAACAGAAATGCAGAAGATGGGATTGCTCCCCTGCTTCCCTATAAAATGGAGGCAGAAATTGCAGCAGGGTTCTATCATTGTTGGAAATGTGGCTTTATTTAATTCTCCCTTAAACAAGTTGTCTAGGGGACAGTGGAAGAAAGAAAAAACATCCTTGTTTGGAGGGTCCATTTGCGAATCATTAACAATAGCAACAGCAGCTATGTGCAGGTACTTCAGTGTGAGCCTGGCTATATTTCATTCTGTTAGTTTAAATGTAAGGTCAAAGCCTTAGGGAGGCAATAAAGAAGTGTTAGTATGCCATGGGAATAAGGAATCGTGATTAATCTCCCTACATCTGATGAGTGACTCTTTCTTAAATAAACACTGTAATAAGTGGCCAATGGAAAATGTATGTACCACTGCCATGTACCAGACTGCACAGGGCACAGTGGTGCGTTGTATAGCCTGTGCTTCAGGGAGCTTACAGGCAGCTCCAGTGCCAGCGGGGAGAGAAGGCCTGGCCCACAGAACAACACAAACATAGTCATGCTACCATTCTGCAGCCTGGGTTTTGGCCATGCCCACCTGGTCCAGTCAAAGTCAGGAGGTTCAGCTTGGGCTCCTGGGTGCTTGTTGCAAGACCACAGTGCAAGAGACAGTGCATGTCTGAGATCTGGGGAAAACAGCGTGAATTTTACCTACCAGACTCTGACATCTGAAGAGCTTTGCACGCTGCATTAGGCAAGAAATGCTAGGTTTACTGCATTCATTCATGACTGTCCATTCAATTTATGCATGAGAGTCCAATTAATTTATGCATGAATGCCCCATCAGTTCAAACATGCGTGCCCTGTTAATTCATGCTTGAGCACCAGGTGGGGCATGAGTTGCAGGGTTTTGAGCAGAGAGCTGATTGCAAACAAAGGCAGCCCCAGTTAGAGTGGTCCAACAGACCTGCAGGGATGAGAACATTGCTCTCAAGAGTCTGACCACCTGGTGGTCCTTTTTTCTGAGCAGAATTACAGCAATGTGGGGTGCTTTCAGCCATTGCCCCTGGGAGATGTCCCTGCAATGACTACAGTCCTGTTAGGAAGCTGGAGCTTGTGGGATGCAACTTTTGGCCTTGGATACTAAAACCTACAAAAGTGGTGAACATCTAACATCACAGCCACAAATCTGTAACAGCTAGGCAGGTGCTGCTGCTCCTCCAGTATCAGCTGATAAGCTGGTGGGATGTCCTGTTGAACAAGGAGTGACCTACAGATACTGTACTGGGGGAAGCATTAGCTGCACAGAAGATGTCAAGTGTCCAGTTTTACATTCATCCTTGAAAGTAACTGTAAAGAAGTGTTGAAAATTCTCCATGCTCCCACCCTACATGCTAGGAGTAACAGATGCTCCAAAAGGAAAAGGAAGCATATAGGATGGAAGTGGGACAGAAATCTAGAGCTGTGAGTTAAGCAACTGCAAGCACAGCATAAAAGGTCAGAGTTTAGTTAATGTTGTTTGACCATGGAGTAAGCCCCAAGAGACCAAAGCTCTTTGGTGTGTCATCTCACTCCCCAGATGGGGAAATGCCCTACTGCTGCGTGTGGATACTCTTCACCCTAATCCATCCCCCATTTTGGATATAAATGAAGCCCTGCAGCTACTGAACTCATGACTCTATTGGTACCTTGTGGTGGTTTAACCCCAGCCAGCACTCAGCTGTAACACTCAGCCGCTCGCTCACTCCCCTGGTGGGATAGGGGAGAGAATTGGAAGAGTAAAAGTGAGAAAACTTGTGGGTTGAGATAAAGACAGTTTAACAGGTAGAGCAGAAGCTGCGTGCAGAAGGATTTAGGATGAGAATCATGTTGATAACACATTGATGTGTTAGTTGTTACTAAGCAATACTTATTATAAGTCAAGGCCTTTTCTGTTCCTCACACCACCCTACCAGTGAGCAGGCTGGGGGTGCACAAGAAGCTGGGAGGAGACACAGCAACACAGCTGAACCTAACTGACCAAAGCAGTATTCCACAGCATATGGTGTCATACTCAGCATATAAAGCTGAGGCAAAACTGGCTGGGGACCACTGCTCAGGAACTGGCTGGGCATTGGTCAGCAGGTGATAAGCAACTGTATAGTTGTTTTGTATATCTTACAACAATAACAATTAAATACTACTATTAATAACAATATTAACAATATTATTAATAGTGATTATTAATAATATTGGTTTATATTAACAGTATTAATAAAAGTATTAGTATTATTTAAATAACCCTTTTTCCCCTGTCATATTAAACTGCCTTTATCTCAACCCACAAATTTTACTTCTTTTTTGTCAACTCTTTCCTCCATCCCACTGTGTTGGGGAGGGATGAGTGATCAGCTGTGTGATGTTTAGCTCCCTGCTAGGTTAAACCACAACAGTGGATTACAAGGGATGTCACAAAAGCTGGTACACTTGGCAGAGAGCTGCATAAGCAAGTCAACGGGAGCAGCTGAGGGATTTGCAGCTCTGACATCTCTCCCAGAGTTATGACCTCAAACTAACCTTATCTCAGAAAAGAAATGTGAAGACAGAGCAATTGGGACTCCAAACAGCTGGAAAGGTGTGCTCTGATGCTCTCAGCAGAGACTCTGTGTCTCTCATTAGCCCCTGAATGGTGAGTAGAAAGGGAGAACTATTTGCTTGAGACTTTTTACACAGGTCCAGTGGGGCGTCTGTAACTCCTGGCCAGTTCAAGCCTGCTGCTGGCACAGAGGGATTGGCACAGTGGCTGGAAATTCTGGCAGGGTTAAGGAGGGGAAGCACATGTGCTGGTGCTCTGTCAGCCTAGCAAAACACGGGTAAGACTGCCCTGGCATGAGGAGACATTATGAGTGGATCATTTAAGAAATGGCAGAAACTGAGGGCAAGTCTTCCAGGCTATCATTTGGGACACAGAAAAAGACAGTAAGTAGGAGCCAGCTGCCGATGCTGTTCTGTCTCTATGGCCCAAATTCCACTCTACAGTTAGTATAAAATGCCAAAACCCAGCTTAATAGCAGCTGTGAATTGCTGAGTGACCACAGTAGAACTGCAGCATTCACACAAAACCTATAAAATGTCAAAAGAGTTCACAAAAGCAAATTGGCTCTAAGTGAACAATACTGCATGTGGTCTCTGCTCCTGCTTGCCTTATTTCTTTTCTCCCATAAAAAAAAACTTAATCATTGCCTTTCAGAAATTCCCAGCTCTGATCCATGTTCCTCATGGAAGGAGGTAAAAATGTAAAAATAAACCAATAAATAAATAACATAAAAATAATGAAACTGGGTAGACAGATTTCATACAAAATTAAATGGATCAACCTGACATATTCATTACAAAAACAATTACTCTTACAACTTTATTCCCTGCTACTGCCATCTCACACTACCTGTCAATTTAACTATTTGCTGGAGGCTCAGATTCTCCAGCCAAAACATGTAATACTGAGAAGATGAAGTTTGTGACAAGTAGCCTTATTCAGCAGGAGGCTGAGCACACTGAGCGCCCCACTGCTTGAATAAAACATGGTGAGCACACAGGCTCTTTTAAAGACAAAACAGCTTATTGGGGTCACTGATACAGACTTACGGCTGGGCTTTTTAAATGCATATGAAGAAGCCTCACTGACCCGACCTGTCTGGGGTATCCAGCATTCAAAATACTGACTTAGAAATGTTTTGGTTCAAGTTTTCAGTAAGCTAAACTAGTAAGTGACTACACTTCCTGCAACTTTTCCTGTAAGAGCAATTCAAAGCAGAGCCTTGCTCTGTTTCTTGTCATCCCTTCAATGTCAAGTACATTTACACTGCTGGATAACTAACAGTTGCTATTTTTAAACCACAGTGACACTCATGTTGGGATAAGTCAAGCAAGACCAAGACCAAGACCAAGACCACGGCTGGTATGTGTAGCCAGCTCTGTGTTGTGACTGCCGTGTGATAAAGAAGATGAGAATCATCTCCTTCACAGTTAACAGCCAAGACTTACAGATTTAACATCCAGATCCGTTCTAGTTAGCAGTAATGTCATGGTTTAAACCCAGCTGGTAACCCAGGACCACACAGCCACTCGCTCACCCCTTCTCCCCTTCCTTAGGTGGGATGGGGAAGAGAATCTAAAGAATATAAAACCCGTGGGTTGAGATAAGAACAGTTTAATACCTAAAGTACCATCTACTACTACTAATAATAATGATTAGAGAACTAATAAGGGGACAAAATAGAAAACTAAAACAGGAAAGGGAAAAAAATAAACACAAGTGATGCACAATACAATTGCTCACCACCTGCCAACTGATACCCAGCCTGCCCGAGCAGCGACTGGTCCCTTCTGAGTGACTTCCCCCGGTTAATATACTGGGCATAATGTGCTGTGGTATGGAATACCCCTTTGGCTAGTTTGGGTAAGGTGTCCTGTCTCTGCTTCCTCCCAGCTTCTTGTGCCCCTCCTCACTGGCAGACCACAAGAGACTGAAAAGTCCTTGATCAGGATTAAGTGCTACTTAGCAACAACTAAAACATCGGTGTGTTACCAGCATTGTGCTCAGACTAAAGCCAAAACACAGCACCAAGCCAGCTACTAGGAACAAGATTAACTCTATCTGAGCCAAAATCAGGACAAGTAGACCAGGGGACTCCTTATACATTACCTATTACTGGCACAAAAAGGCAGTATCTCAACAAAAACTAAAAATTTCAGATTATGCTTTTGTTCCCTTGTTGCCAAGAAGGTTTTAGAACTTGATCCCCAGGGCCTCTAAAATCAAGATGCAAATCAAAATAGAGCTATGGATCAAGCAGAATTTGTGTAGTATTGTCCATAAGGAACTGAAAGGGTCTATCTAGACTGAGCCAAATACAGGGCCGTTCTGTACATCCTTTACTCCTACAAGACATACTACTTACACTTTATCCAATTTTTAAGGGGGTCCAGTGTCAATTAATTCTCATGCTGGCAATAGATTTTGTTGCCAGATCACATGCACACTTAACTAAGTGGAACAGAATTTAACAGATGCCTTAGTCCTTTGGCCCACTGGTACAGCAAGCGCTCTCAAAATCTTCCTGCAACTTTCACCAGCTCTGTGTTGGCCAGGCCCTAAATTACTAAGGTGCACTGAGATCCACAGTGTGCTTGGGCTGCTCTGTGATGTCTCAGGGAGCTGCCATTAACTACATGCCTGACCAGCATCAAGCCTTTCCCACACTCAAGCTGACACAAGTACATGGTAGCAAAGGACAGTAAGTTATCGTAGTTCAGATAAAACGTTGCCAGCACAGCTGTGTAACTGGCAGTTGTCGCTTTTAAATTATGAGATAATTACTAGTGCTGTCCACTCAGACCATTTGTTCGGTGGCTTTTATGACAAGCAGACTTGCTGGGGGACAAAAAAAGCCCCCAGGCTGTACACTGCTTCTGGGAACTGCATATGCACCCAGAGTGAATCAAAGCTCAGAGGTATGGAGCGCATCTTTCTGGTAAATCATTTCAGCTTATCTCGGATGCAGATGGATGCTTGTGCAGCTCTTTCTTCTGCAAATAAATAGTTGTGCTTGAAAGCAAAATCACACAGTGCCAAAAAAGCCCTGCAGGTCAGCCATGTGGAAAACCAGTCACATGGTTTGCTCCCCTAAGCAATTCACTGGTTGTCCTCAGTGTAGCCAGATATCCTGCATACAGCAGTGCTTTTAACTGGTAGAGCCTCATATGAGATTTAATAAAATGAAAAATAAAATCCCTTGCAGATTACACACTAGCTTCTGACCTGAGCCCCAGAAAGAGGTACATGGGCTCAGGTAAAGTAGGAAGCATACACTCCACTCAACAAAGACATGTACATCCTCCTCAGGCAGAAGATAAAGGCATCCCTGTCACTTTCTCATCCTATTAGATGCAGAAAAATCTGTCTTTAAAAATCTGCCAGCTGTATCCTGGGCTGCATCAAAAGGAGCGTGACAAGCAGGTCAAGGGAGGCAATTCTGCCCCTCTACTCTGCTCTTGTGAGACCCCACCTGGAGTACTGTGTTCAGCTCTGGGGCCTTTGGCACAGGAAAGACATGGACCTGTTGGAGCAAGTCTAGGTAAGGGACACAAAGATTATTAGAGGGCTGGAGCACCTCTCCTGTGAAGAAAGGCTGAGAAAGTTGGGGTTGTTCAGCCTGGAAAAGAGAAGGCTCTGAGAGACCTTATTATGGCCTTTTAATATTCAATATTTACTATTTAAATATTATCTTATTATAAGAAAGACAGGGACAAACTTTTTAGCAGGGCCTGTTGCAAAAGGACAAGGGGTAATGGTTCTAAACTAAAAGAGAGTAGATGCAGACTAGACACAAGAAATTTTTTACAGTGAATTGCTTTTACAACTGGAACAGGTTGCCTAGGGATGTTGTAGGTGTCCCACCCCTGGAAACATTCAAGGTCAGGTGGATGGGGCTCTGAGCAACCTGATCTAGTTGAAGATGTCCCCGGTCACTCCAAGGAGATTGGACTAGATGACCTTTAAATATCCCTTCCAACCCAAACTATTGTATGATTCTATGATTTCAGTAGGCCAAAGGAGACAAGTGTAAATGCTCTAAAGTAGGCTGAGTCTTACCACTTTGTGAAGTGCTAAGTGAACTAGTGCACATTTTTTATGGTGCATTTTAGCTTTTCAGAAGTGGCAGACAAAAAAAAACAACACTGGGGATGAGGACAGGAGGTTGGATCAAAGATGCTTTCTATCTAGCATGATGTCTAAGATTGTCATGGTCCTGTAAGCATGTCTCTGTGCCAAAGTGTGAATTCCATTTTAGTTTGTGGATCCCATTCTGCTTTACATTCTATACTGTCACTTTCACAGTGCCGCAAGTCTTGCCCGTAGTAGCAGCTGGACACACTGGGGAAAGCCCACATGCTGGAGCAGTTGTAGTATACAAGGCCAACAAAACCCATCAATCCTGAATGTCGGCAACAGTAGGTAAGGCCACTCTTTCTGAAACTCTTACAAATAGCAGTTTACCAGATGGGACCAGAGGCTGAATCTACCCCAAAAGAGGAGAAGAATCAAAAGGGACCCTTCAATAAACCAGTAAAACATGAAACATTCTCTAACGAAGTACGCAAGAACCATGCTGTCTAAGGGCAGTAACTATACCTGCCACTCATAAGAGGTTTTCTGGAGTAATCTGTTTTTTCAAAGTCAAAATTCTCAGCACTTTCCAGAGTAAAATAGCAACGGACAAGAGATTCCTTTGCAAAGTCTGTCTTCTTTTCCTCTCCCCTAATGATTTTAGCTCAAAACCCAGGTTCCTGAATGCTGCCTGATTTGGGGCTACTCTGGTGCTCTGTGGACCAAAAAGGGGTGGGAAAACTATACAGCAGGATTCTGCTGCCTAAGAAAACTGCCTAACCACTACTGCCTGTCACTGAGAGTGCTTTGGAGCTCCTGGACCCTCATTAGTGTTACAGTTGTAACTCAACTCTATACTGGTGAAACCCCAGCTGATTCACCATGAATTCACCCACTTTTTGCAAACAGAAGGGAGCATGTGGGCCAGCCAGGAACCCTTACACCAACAGGACAACACACCTGAACAAGCAGAGAGACAGAAACTGCAGCCTGGTATGCCATGTTCCATATACATATCCTGAGAGACCCGTAAGTCAGAGCACTGCCTAATGACTTCCTAAGACCACGCGGTTACTGCTGCAGTGACAGCACACTGCACTGACTACAGCTGAGTGAATGCAGCTGCTCTCAAGATAACCACCCCAAGCTTCTTCTCCCTGTCTCCCCCCTGATGTCATAACTTCTCTCAGATCTGCTGCTGTAAGTGTTAGTAACATCTTCCTAAAGAGGAAGAGGCATGGGCCTGTTTCCAACAGATGCCCCTTGCACACTTCTGCACCAGAAGTGACTGGACAGTGGTTCAGTGGAATTGCTCTTGTGTGGAATTCATACCTGTATTCAGCAACCCCTCCTGAATGCTTCTTCATGGCTGTATCAGAGCTCATTCCATAGAAGAGTTTCACCTTCTTGCCATTCTTTTCTATAATCTCTCCAGCACACTGATCATGGCCTGCAAACATTCCTCCAAGCATGACAAAATCAGCACCGGCTCCTGTGATCAGCAAAGTGACACATAAGAAAGCAGGGAAGGGAGAAGAGGATGAAAGACAAAGCAAGCACACAGTGGCCTCCAAAAACAATAGCCCTGAATAGTTTGGTACAGAGAGTCCCCTCCGGTAATATACACAGAGAACTTGGAAGAAATGCTTTACTGAAGAACTGACACATGCTGAATTGTATTTCTCTGGTATTTTAAATAGAAAGAATCCTTTTCTGTTATGATGACAAAGATACAGCTTGTTCTACTCCACCCCACACTCTTTATTTTCAAACTCAGTTTTAACCCTTTACTTCATCAGTATCTGAGCACAGTTTCTTATTAACTATAACTATGACTGAGGTACCCAGAAGTTCTAATCAGAGAGGTGTGACCTGTTGAGCTCAGTGCTGTATAGAGAAGACACCAGCTCCTGTTTCAAGAGCTTTCTAGGGTACAAGCTATGTGTGGGAATGTACTCTGAAAGAAGGTGTATTCATGAATGTAATGTACTCCTTCCAACATAAAACAAACAGATTTTTAAATTAAATTATGGGTTTTTCAAGTCCATCAGTCATGTTCAGTGTATGTCTGGATGATCCCTTATGAAAAAGATCTGGATGGGTCTGCATTTGGTTCCTGTTCTTTAAAAAAATCTGGGCAAGGAGTACCACCCCTGGGTTCTGTGTTTTTCAGCACACACCACAAAGGAGTTCTAACCCATAGCTACAAATCCTAAATATGTTCCAGATACAGAATAACAAAACTGAATACTCAGTTGTGCCTGTTCAGTCTGTCCATCTCCCCAGCTTTGCAGATCATGAAATCAGTTCCACTGGGAGTAAGATCAGGAAGAAGTTTTTTGGAATCTCTCTTGATTTTCTACTGTGATTTCCAATATTTCCAGCTGGGCTGGAACTACTCCACCAGCAGCTCCTTCTGTGATAATCTGGCATATCTAGTCTTGCTTGGAAAAGTTTAGCTTTTACTCTTTTATGAGCCTGCGGTGACCCATCCCTAAAACAAAGCATTTTCCTGTTCAGACTCTGCTTCTTCAATGTGTTTGTGTCAGAACAGGCCTCCCCTCTGCTCAGCTTCTTCCCAGAACTGGCGAAAGAACATGGCTATGAACCTACCATCATAGAAAGCAGATGAGCCTGAACTAACCCCACCCCATTATGAACATATCTGAACTCTGCGGAGATCCCAGTCTAGGTAAGTCTAGCATTAGGCTCTGATCTCTCTCACTATCTAAACAATAGCACTGGGCCTTGAAATCTGAAGAGTGAGATCATTATCGACTCTGCTCTCCTTCTGCCATCTGTTTAAAAGCTCTGTAGAAAAACCTGAATTTGGGAAAATTTTGATCTTGGAGTACATGACAACCGTGTAGTGTGCCAGTTCCCTCCCTCCGCCTCTTTGCCAAAGAGCAGACCTAGCAGCAATGCCTGGGGGCAGAGCACCCAGCTGCTCTGCTGACTTCACCTCCCTTTGCCTGGTCGTTGTTTGAAAGGAACAGTATGTCCATGGTAAAGCAATATTAAAAATGAGGCTGGTGCAAAACTGCTGAGCACATCACAAGCAGTATTTATAGCCAGGCACCCATTCAGGTGTCCAATCATGCCAACTACCTGGCAGATTTTTCCTGAGCTCTCTCGTTTCAGATGGCTGAGTTTTACAGCCTCAGTTTGACTCACATCTGATACTACTATTAACCTGCCAAAAACGAAGGGAATGCTCATCGTTTAAGACATTCTCAATTACTGGTAGGGATCTCCTGTTGTTACCTGGCACAATCTTGCTTTACCTTTGCAAAAAATAAGTACCTTGGGAAATCTAGTTGATGTCTTCTTCAGGGGTAGAAGAAAACAACATGTGGAAGAAGGGATGGATCTGGGGCCAAGTTTTCAAAGAGGGCATTTAAAACAAGTCAAAGGCCTGCCAAAGGACACTCTGGACTCTTTGCCTTGTTCATACTATCCCCTGACCTCCAGTCATAATCCTGTCTCTGGCTGTGGGTCTCACAGCCTCCAAATTATTAATGCAAAACAGCCACATGAAATCTACACTTCAGAATCACAGAATTTTTGTTCCTGTGCACTTCAGTATCTATTATTTTTCTTTTGACTGCGTATTTTGGGACAAAAGCAAGTAAGCTTGAATTACAGGATTGAAACTCATTTGACTTGAGTAGCTTGCAAACTAGAACATAATTCATCAAGCTCTTCCAGATGAGAGGAGCTATGTCACAGCAGACACAGCACATGTAGACATTGGAATGACACATGCTTACTGCCCTGCAGCTCCAGGAATAACAACGCCATACTAAATATGCCATCCAGAACCTTCCACCCTGCTTCAGTATTACAAAGATGTCTGAAAGTTTCAAGTCTGTTCCACTACTTTTATATCAGTTAACATCCAACCAGGAAGCTGGTTTTCGTAGCATGTTCTTTCTTCTGCATAGTTTTTTGTACGACCAGAAGCTCTAGTCATGCTTGTGACACCCAGCTGCAGTCTTTCAAGTACAGACAGACAGCGTTCCTTTATTTTAGCTTGTGGGGACTGAGAACACCTGGCAACAAATCCCTAGATAATACAGGACGTGATGGGGTACACTGCATACAAGCAGCATCAGCTTGCCCAGAGTTTGCTAGACTTGTCCTCTTTCTACACAATGCCACTTCAATGCACTTTGATGCCAACACTGTATCTAGGCTGATTTTGCTCATTCACATTTCACAGTGCCTTCTCTTTCAAGCCATTACAAAATATGCATGCTGACGCCAGCACTCACACAGTTCTGCTGGATCTGGATGGAGTCCCTGAGATGTCTTTTGTATGCCTGATAATAGAACTTAGTGATAACCAGCTTGGCTCTGCACAAATTCAGCTGGAGTCAGCCTTGATTTGTGTCCTGGGCAGCCCTCCAGACAGATGCAGTGTAGGTTTCCCTGGACCACAGCTGACCCTGGAATCAACATTCACCTGTGCTCCAGCTGAGCCAGCAAGCCTTTGCAACAGTAGGTATACAGGCACAGCTAATGAAAACAACAACAAAAAAAAAGCCAGTATGATCTCTCAGGTATATTTCAGAACCAGTATATGTCCCCAGTTGACTTTTCTACATGCTTTTTAATTCCTTTTCCTTCCCTGTTCCTGTATCTCTTCTCACCACTGCTGTAAGGAACAGCAGTATTGTGTTAAAGATGCTGGCGTAGGATTCAAAAGGCACATTCTGTTCCTGGCTGTGTCACAAAAATATATGTGACCTCAGGCAACTGAACTTAGTATTTCTATGCTTCAACTTCTCATCTTTAAAAAGGGAGATAGTAGTGCCTCCCTGGGGCATTCTGAGAGATGTGTTATCAGCCTTTCCAAGGGTGTAGTTATGTGAGCCAAAAGCCCCAAACAAAGTTATTCCATGCTTTCTCTTGTTCCTGCATCAGAACACCTTTTTTCTCCCTGATCAACCTACCTCTTTTCTATTATCATCTCTAATACCCAGATGGCAGCGACATCTTCGGTTTGCCAAATCTATACCAGGTTCCCACCAGCAGTTCCAGAATTCCAGCCGTCCCTTCAAAAATATCTGTCACTCCTGGTATTTTTGTTTCCCACCTTCAGTGCTTCTCTGTTCCTTGCCTTTTTAAATAGGCTTCTACCTTGGTTTCCTCTGTCAAAATGTCCAATCTGCCTCTGACTCCTGAGACCAGTCAATCTACTTGTAAAGCTTCTCAGCAACTTCTTCATGGTTCATCACAGCTCTTCACCTGCACTCCACCCTACTACCCTACTTCTCCTTTTCCCATGAACTTGGCTCCTCCAGTCACATCTTCAGCTATCTTCCAATGCTAGTCTTTGCATCTGGGACTCCCTTATGCTTTTTATTATTTGAATGGCTGCTTTGTCACTCCTTTATAATGAACATCTCAACATCTCTTTCATGAAGACTTTACAATGATCCACTGAAAGAGACAGTACAATCACTTTAACCCAAAGTCTTCTTTGGGTCTCTTGTCCATGCTTTGTCCAGGATTCCATCCCCAAGTGAAATTGTACATCTGTGTGTTTTATCGCTTGGTCTCTGCTATCCAATATATTTATGTAACTCCTCCCTGCAAGAGGCTCTCAGCAAGCACAGAGGTCTGTGCTAGACAATTCAGTATCAATGTTAAAGCTTTGACCTGTAAATGCCGGGCAATAAGGCTATCTTCTACATGGCTCACATAACCAATAAACAAAGTAGTAACATTATCTTGAAGCTTATTTTGCCACCCACCTTTGACAAATGTACACCTATCTCCAGCTAGTCATATGTCCACAGTGTCTCTATCTCAATTATATATAACCAGATCAGTAAATTTATTGCCTCAGGGTAATCTTTATCAAGCCTTGTACCTGTGACACACAAGTCAGACTGATTTGTCTGCCCTACTGTCAGAACAGAACTACTGCCTGTATAATCTCAGCTTTCTGATGCTCCTCTGTCCTGGGACAACTTGTGGTAGCCTTCAAACATACGCCACTGTGAATCCCAGCACCTCCTGACAATCAACAGGGCCCAGGATCTACCCTTTCACAGGTTTGAAGCAAGTTTCTATTCAGTTAGCCCAAAAAGACTACAGGGACCCTTCAGACTTGCTATAAACATCACAAAGGAAAAAAAAATTAAACAATCTGAAGTTGCTTCATGTTGTTCTAACTTCTGGAAATGCTCTTGTTGAAGAAAAGACAGGAACATGGGCCATGTTCCTGTGCAGGCAGCTGGGAATGCAGCGAGGTCAAAATCTCCTTTCACAAGCTTCCCGTGACACCACCACTGGCAAGAACCACGTGAGCTGCGAAGCCAGAGAAAGGCAGAATAAAGGCCTCATTGCAGGCGGCATGATGTCAGAGTGAGCTGGGCTGAGGAGCGGCTGAGTGTTTTTTTTAATGCAATCTTGTTGTCAGAAAGGGTGGATGCTGCTATTCAGCTATGTCAGAAATCACCCAACTGTGAGTATCTACTCCCTACGTCACATCACCCACGGGGTAACATGAAGGTGACGTGAAATCCTGTGACTGAGCAGATCCATCACTGGTAGCAATCACTCCATGGCTGTGCTTAAAATTTTCCTATTTAAGACTTCCTTGCCATCTGACCTGTCTAAAAACAGGAGCTGTCTGCAAACTTAGATTTTGGTTTCAACCTTTCCAGAAGGCCCAGCGTTTTTCTTGGTAGGTCTGCAACCCGAGTTTAGGCTTGCCCCTGCTTCCCCTATTTGCAAAGCTTCCTGCCAAGCAGACATGCTGTATCATAATGTACTCTCTCTTGTACCATATCCAATTATTTCAGTGATCTGAAATCTCAATGAGAGACTGCGCTGTCCTGCTGTGTTCCAGGTATTACCCCACTGCAACATCTCCAAAGGGTCTGGCATTTTAGGGACTAGGGACTGTCTTTAAATATCCTGTCAGCCCAGGATGCATGTAGCACCTGTTTCACATATGCTACTGCAACAACGTTATGGCTAAGTGACAATCCTGACCTTGACTCCCCCCACTCATGTAACTTGCATGCCCAAAAGAAACCACTCACAGATTAAATTCTCTATTCTATTAGCAAGAGCTGGTGCAATTCACTGAAGCTACTGGCATGAGAGCAAAATCCGTTAATTATTAACTTAGATATTTTAGACATCTCAACTCTAGGGATACAGCATAAATAAAATTTCATCTTTTCGAATGGACAACTGATCCCAAGAACATTTCCAGGGATCTGGCCTGCCTTTTTGTTTTGTTCTTCTGTCCAACACACATTCCACCAGCTTTTTGTCCATTCAAGGACCAAGTCAGTCCAATCTGGCAGTGTTACAGGCATCTTTGAACCCTACTCAGAAGAAGCCCTTATCAGTTTTCTTTGCATTACTGTCCCAGTGCTGTATCTTGTGCACACCTGGCAGATTGTTTCTAAATAGGACTTCGACCACTGTATGTTTTGCACTGCAGAATTTGGTCTGGCCCAAAGAGTAAATTCACGTCTGGTGTACCAATTTCACTGGAGCCACCCACAGGGACAAATGTAATCTACTACTGGTTACACATTTAGGGTGGAATGGCCTCCTGCACCACTGCTGAAGCTGCTGGAGACACGCGGGGTGTAATGGGTGACACTATGCGCTGTCCTTACCAAACGCTTTGGCGACATCTCCTGGGCAGCTGCATCCTCCATCCTGCGAGAGAACACACGACAGTGAGTGACAGTGAGCTCACTCAGGGACCCAGGTGAGCACTGGCACCCTGCAACCTGCAGCAGAACGGTCGCTGCTGAGGAACAGTGTGTCAAGAGCTGACTGTGCACCACTGCTATACATCCATCATCTTGGCTGAGCTTTCAGAGAATCCATACGATCCTTTCCATTGCTTTCCTTCTTTAGGCTCATTTACTCTACCGTATAGTCTACCACTAGTAATAGCAGCAATTCAAATTCCTGACTGCCATTTCCTAAATCATTCCCTGCCATTTTAATGAAAGGTTGTGTGATGCAGAGGTACCACAAACCCCTACCTTAAACCACCAAATACATTTAAAACACCTTTCTCAGCAGTTCACATTAAAAGGTCACAGGGGGAGGGGTGAGGAAATATACCACCAGCTATGTTGGAGTTTGATCTGATAATCTCTAAGCAAATTGGGCAATCTAATCTTTGGTAAGTGAAAATGAATCTCTCATCAGATGCCTCACTTTTTGCTACAGGCTTGGTAAAGAAACGACAGCACTTGGAGATCTTTAGCATTTTAGACCTACGTGTTTCAGTTTCAGTGCAAAGCAGCTGATGAGGGGGGTTCAGTTGAGGGGAGGGAAGTTACATATGTGTGACAGGCCTGTAAAAAGAGGAATGGCACACAGCACAGCTCATCAGGTACTACAGCTCTTTAGGGTTTGTAAAGGTCTGAGCATCGGATGAAAAGATCCTTCTACCCCACACTGCCATTATACCAAGAGAGCTCCCCATTCCTTTAATGATCAGGGCCTGTTGCAGACTGCCAACAGCCCTCCTGCTTTTGAAGCTACTCCTCAGACTCTACAGTTACCTCATTTTGCTTCACCTCCCTGTTGGCAGAAACGCAAGCCTGTGTATGACCTGTGGCTGAGCACAGCCATACACCTCCACCATCAGCCATTTTAGAGCTTTCTTGGGTAGCTGGCAGTAGGGCTGAGCATTAGAACCTCCCTGTGTGCAGAGAAGGATTCAGACACAAACTGAGCAGGTGGATCCAAACCTGAGTGATTTTTCAAAGGGCATCCCACTGCAAACAGCACGCGGCAGAACTTTAAAGACTGCTATTCCATTTGCTGATAACCTCTAGCACATTATGCCTTTTGTTGAGCTAGAAATTCTTGCTGTCAGCTCCAGAAAGGAGTGCTGGGCTGACAGCTGAATCTCTCTCCTGTCAAGGGCTCGGCTTGTGCAATTCTTTCCCTCTGACAAGTTTGTCAGAGCCTGGAGGAGGGTGTTAGTGTGTGTGCATGTGTCAGGGAAGGAAGAGCTGAGATAGAAAGAGAGGTCTAATAATTTTCAAAGGATAGTGTCAGGTGTTTGTGTGACTCTTACTGTCTGACTGAGACAGGCTGGCTATGAATGTTCTCCTGTAGATGGGTTTCAGTCTGTTCTTGCTGGGTGGCTCAATGACTGACTTTTATAATTAACCCAGTGGTGACACTGATGGAGGCTTTATGCTTTCAGAAGTACTATGGGGATGGAGGCCTTTGTGTGTAATCATTAATCATCGGCTTCAAAAAATAGCACTTTGAATGTCACCAAATTACAAATGCTGAGCCTGTTAAGAGACTTTCCCAAAAGCTCATCAGTTACCATTTAAGATAGAAGGAGCCAACGATGATGATGATTCACATCACTTCTTTATCTGTAGATGTCTCTACTTACTTCACATAAGCAGGTAAATTTAATGATTCCCAGAAAGGGAAACAAAAAGGGGACAAACTAAGCAGTTATGCCAGAGGAACCTATATGCATTAAACCACCTCTTTCCATGTGAAAAATCAAACACTCTGTTTAGACAATAAGACTGTGCTTCTGCTGCATTGTCTTGGAGGCTTCCCCTTGCAGCTCAGCTTGTCTCAATAGGGGCCTGGCTCTGGATTCAAAATGACTTGTACAACTGCTGGGCTTCAGTCACAGAGTTTGGTGGAGGCTCAGCCTCTATCTCAGAGCCCCAGGGAAGTGTAGTTGTACAAATTCCCCTGTGAATTCAGGAGCACTGGCATTATTCTGAAGTAAGCCTTCTGGAAAGGCTGGCCGGGGGCCTGTAGAGGGCATGATTCTGAGACAAGTGTGTGCTAAGCTGAAGGAGAGGGAAAAACAGGTTTCCAGTCAAAAGAATTATTTTAATGTGGGCTAAAATAATGTTACTTTCCCCAGTCTTGTTCTCTGAACATATAAACCATTTTACAACAACAAAATTTCACCTGAGGAAAATAAATACTCTATGGAAAACCAGTATGAACTGGTTTGAATATTTAATATTATATGCAACTTATAATAAGCTTATAACTATGATTTGTATGTTTCAAGCAACCTTTATAATAAACTGTATAACCAGGCCTTCCTACAGTATCAGAAAACAGATAGCTATTTATTATGCAGAAGATATGTAAAGTATGTGGCATATACAACAGTAGAAACAATACATAATGGTGCTTTATTCTGAACTACATATACTGGGCATATTTCTGTGTTGATAGTGTTCTGTGTGGAGGAAGAGATGGTATGGCAGTAGCAGGGTGAAGAACCCCTTAGTCATCCTTTTTACTGAATGCTGGTAGTCTATCACTCAGGCGGAGTGAAGGGGAAACGTGGATCCCTATCAAATGATAGACAAAACAGGACAGATGCAACACTGTTTTCCATTCCCCACATTGCTAGCTTACTAGAATACGCAACTGCCTCTCTATCCAGCAGAGTAGTTCTCTGACCTACAAGAAAAAGAAACTTTATCTCATGTAGGGTGCTTCTGAAGGAGCACTCCTGCTAAACAGCCCCTCCACTGTAACTCACTGCTGCACTTTCTCAAGGCCAATGGATTAGCGAGAATGAAAATTGAGACTATTGGCTCCCAGACAAATAGCACGGGACAGAAACAGTGCATGTATCTTAGACAGGGTTTCCTCTCTTCTTTCAGTGAGTCATGAAAGATTAATTTCTGAGGTGAACTTTGAGTCTTAAAGATAATTTAGCATGAGGAAAGCATTTGGTGCAATGTCACCTCCCCCTTCTCTCTGTGACTCTAGAGAGACACCAGGCGTTCGCTTGGACTATCATGTCTGCCTTAAAATTGTCACCTTCTTTGCCACATACCAGCCCCCAAAGTCATATATGATTACTTTAGTAATACAAACATTTGAAATCCCAATTTGTGCTGCCATCCTAGCAGAGCTACTGCAGAATGGGTTTCTAGAGTTCTGTGTTCCTCACAGTACTGTGCTCAGCACCATCACCTCAATCTGTGAGTGGGGCTTCTTTCCCTTCTCAGGTAAACTGAGCCAACAAGACAAGAAAGAGGAGCAATTTGATGAATGTACAGGACAAGACAAAAGTGAGTGCAAGAAAAGTGCCCCAAGGGACTAACCCGTATCACACCATCAGCTATAATCTACATGAAGATAAGCTGGTAGGCTTTGAATCTTTCCACATCCTTCCTTCTACTTCCATATTAATATAACAAAAAAACTACTGGACGTCTTTTCTCCTGCCAAACTAACATAGATAGTCGTGGTAATACTCTGCCTGTAGTGGTCTCCTTTGGCTGAGGCAAAATGTGCCCTTCCTGAATCTCTGTAACAACAGTAGTGAGACATTCTGAGGGATGCCATGTATACTTGCTGCCACTATACCCAATTATATATATAGACTTACTCCCATATGGTGTTTTTCCCACAGGAGGATACCTTTCTTTTATGATATTCTTGCCAGAACTCTTGCTTGACCGTGCAGTTCAGCCTTCTTTACCCAATAAACACACCAATATCTACCTGAATGCTGCAGAACTCAGGCATAATATGCTCGCCCTTGCTTTAGTGTCCTCAGCTTGGGTGACAGTTGAGCTGCAGTGGTGCTAGCGACCTCAGTTACAACTGAAGGTAATTTTCTTGGCCCAGATGTTGTAGCAGATACTAAATTGCCCTCCTGCACTCACCCTGTAATGGCTAGGGGGTTGATAGGTCTGGGGTCATTGAAGCCAACGTGACCTAAGCAGGTCAGGAGTTGATCCATCCCCAAGACAGGAAAGGAGAGGAGGAATAGTACATAACTGTCTCATTTTCCAGACTCAGTACATACTCCCCATTTTACTGTAAAATCAGGATAATAACATTCTTCTGAGGGTTGTTAGCAGAAAATGATTATTGCAAAACCAGAATGGGTCTCTAAGCACTACTGCTAGGATGACACCTATAGTTACCCAGCCTTCACACTAATGAGTCTTTCATGCTTTATTGCACACATGTTCTGCACACATATTTGTAATACTGACCAAGTCATAGAATCACAGACTGCTTTTTTTTTTTCTGCAAAATTCATATAGGGGAGCCATGGAAAGGAAGGAATGCATATGCATTAACAATAAAGAGTAAGAGAGATCCATCTGTAACACATACTTATTTTCCTGCTTCATTGCACCCACAGATCCAAGCAATACAGTGAAGCCTTTGCCCATCCCCAGTCAATTTGCTCTCCTCTCCCCTCCTTCCTCAACAACACAACACACCCCTTTCCTCACATGGATACTAGTCACAACTGGGTTAAACAAATCAGGGCCTTCCAGTGATTTCATTCGGTGGTACATCTAAAATTCAGTGTGTGGTCTTTTCAAAGGCCACAGAGGGAGACTGTTGGCTGTGAGGGTATCTGTGAGCACAGCATGCTGGTTAGGCCCTATGCCTTCCTTGCTACCTGTTGGGATGCTGTAGGCTGCAGTCTAGCCAGGTCTGAGATCATGCTTACAGATTTACTTTTTCTGTGCAAGGTGAATCAGGTCTTGCTGATAGAACAGAAGCTGCCATTAGCAGGCAATAAAGACATGCTCTTTTTCCTCCACAGGCTCAGTATTTCCCCAGAGTTTTGCGAAAACGTAAGTTGCTGAAGCGCCAGCCATGCTCAAAAGAGCCACCCCTGAAACACTCCTGCTCGTGCACAGAGAGCTCTGTGAGGATGCTATCTGAATCAATCCAGCTACTAGGGCACAGATGGGCTCATATTGTTTTACCTTGTACTCCCCTCTACTGCCTGCCTATCTCTCAGTTCCACTCCCTGGGAAAAGCCATGTTTACACTGCACTCATTTTTCAGAAATATTTTGTAGGAATGACTGTTTTCTTCCATTTGAAAACACTACCAAGCTTCCCATTCTACTCACATAACAGCCTACTCCATTCAGGGAGCAAGAAGCAGCTTTCCAAAGGCAAAAGCAGGAGCCAGGAGCTCAAGTCTTTTTAAAAATTAAAAGGAGTTAGTTTCTTTACATTTACATCTCTACTGACTACCCAAGGAGCTAGTATAGAGGTCAACCAGAGATGACAGGATAGACTTTAACATGCAGAGCACTGGACTGTTTGATTCTCCTGCTCCATACAGTTTGCACAGTAGGAATCTGAGAGTAGATGGCATTTACTTACAGAGATGATATGTCCTTTCAAGCCATGTGCCGAGTCAGCACACTCAATAACAGCACTTAGCTGTGGATAGCCCACCCCTGTCTTAATCCGAGTGGTACACACAGAACCTAGACAAGAAAATGAGAGTTAAAAACATTGCCCATAAGACTGACTGAAAAGATGTATCTTATTTTTCTTGTGGAAAAAAAATGTGTTTCTATCTGCAGTACTTTCCCCCTCAAGAAGTCTCTACTGCCAGTGTTGGCTTCTCAAGGATAAAAGGAACACACAGGAACTTCAGGTTTGAAATGTTATCACACTGCTTCATGGGAGCTGTAATTAAGGTGACTTAATATACCCCCTTTCTTCCCCAGGGACATGGTTCCCAGTTTAGGTCTCATGCATAATGCTTCTCACTGAGGGGATCATGCATCACAAGACATCAAATCTGAATAAGGTCCATGAACAGAAAGGGGACAAAAGGACCAGAGTGACATGCCTGAGACTAAGCAGCAGCATTTAATACCTGAATATTTCTTCCAATAAACATTTATATCTCCTTTCTATGCATGTTTTAAAAAATAATTCTCAGGGAAAACCTGTGTTTTTATTTTTTGTGATGATTTTGCATGAGAGAGAGGAACCCATCTTTCTGCCTAATACTTAAGCAGAAATATTTGGTTGATCACAGTAGTTGTGAATATGAAAAAAAAGCAAACAGCATTTAAAAAGTGAGATAAGTAATCACCCAAAAGCTATATAGTGTAATATTACAGGAAATATACTAATTACAATTGATTAAACTATATTTTTATACACATACATGATGCATGTATATATAAAAATAAAACTATATACATATATATAAGAAGCCCACTTCAATTATAGTTCAACACAGTAACATGGCTATATGTCTTTTGGAATACCTTCTCTATTTTTCTCCTCAAATTAGGAGTCAAAATGAGAACTGCTTTTTGCCTGTATGGGTCTTACAATTTAGGACACAGACCATAAAGTTCTGAATGAAAGTAAGAATTTCAGAGCAGATTCTAAACCAAATGCAGTGAAATCTGGATCCCTTCACCCAGGTCCAGGTATACCTGAGCTACCAGTAAAGTAAATTTCCAAAGATCTTTGAAAAAACTGACAACATGAAAACACTGAGAAATATTTCTGCAAAGAAGGATGAAAATTAGTTTTAAAATAATCTCCACAGGGTTATGTACTTATATATGCGATGCTTTAGAATAAATCACTGCCACTTTCCACAGGATGGACAATTATCTGGAAAAGAGGTCAAGATCTGATCTTCTGTGAGGAACATTTGTTACTTCTTTTGGGTGGTCAACTTGTACAGATCTGTTCAAGAAGATCTCCAGGGAGGGCTATACAGCACTTCTGTTTCCACTTTAAGGCTACAAGCTGTGATAATTCTTCTTTCACATCTGAACTTGCCTATGACAATTGACAACTCTGCTGTTCATTCTTCATGGATTTTGCAGTATATATTGTCTGCTGTCTTCCTGGGCACAACTGCAACTTTTATTACATTTGCTCTGCTCAAATTATCAATTCATGGACCATAACTATTTGGCACTGTAAAGTAAGGAATCTGCCTGCACTGCACTGGCTGATCACAGCTATTCTGTAAGTGGCACTTGTGTTAGCCAGTTTAAAATCTATCCCACATATGGTGACTTCAGCTGCAGTCTAAGAAGAAAATTGCAAGAGGAAGAAGCACATGAAGAAATGCACAAGGGAGGGAAATTAAAAAAGGGAAGACAATATGGCAGTATATGCCACAGAACAATATTAGGGAAGGGAAGGTAGGAATACCAAGAAGTTTAGGGTCCTTCCATTTACCCATGGGAATGTTGCAGTGATAGGTACATTAATGTAAGCTTTAGCTCTCAGGCAATAGTAATAGATAGAGGCAATGTCATCCATACTTCACAATTAATACCGTTTCATCTTTTGAACTGATGAAGTCATTGACAAGATGGGCAACCTCAGCTTAACAGAACACAAATCATAGAGCTATTCAGAAACTCTTTTCTTTTTATCTTTTCTTGATAGAAGTGGATACCTGAACAGAGTATCCTTTGAGATACATCCCATCCTGGGATGACTCAGCCTCTTTTCAACAGGCTAGAAAGAGTTCCTAAACACAACACATTATGAATTATAACTTCATCCCAGGCAATTCAGTGCTTCCAATAGCAGGCATCTACACTGCCAGAAGATGCAATATGTAACACTTTGCAGTACAGATCTCTAGTATGCTGTTCATGTGTATCTTAAACATGTGCAAAAGCACTGTTACTTATTGACCCAACCGGGTCTAGGCATCCTAATGGGCAAGCACAGAGCATTATACACTGGTTCCATCTAGACAACTCCTTGTAATAGTGGTAACAGAGGGTCATGAGGATGACATGGTGGCTAGAGCACCTCCCATACAAGGACAGGCTGCGAAAATTGGGGCTGTTCAGCCTGGAGAAAAGAAGCTGCATGGTGACCTCATAGCAGCCTCCCAGTATCTCAAGGGGGCCTAAAAGGATGCCGGAGAAGGACTCTTCATCAGGGGCTGTAGTGACAGAAAAAGGAGTAATGGGTTTAAAATTAAACAAAGGAATTTTGCATTAGATATAACGAAGAAATTCTTTACTGTGAGGGTGGTGAGGCACTGGAATAGGTTGCCCAAAGAAGTGGTAAACGCTCCATCCCTGGCAGCGTTCAAGGCCAAGCTGAAGAGGACCTTGGACGACTTGGTCTCGTGTGAGAAATCCTTGCTCATGGCAAAGGGGTTGGAACTAGATATTCCTAAGGTCCTTTCCAACCCTAGCTATTCTATTATTCTATGACTGGATTTGACTTACCTGGTCCAATACCCACTTTAATAATATCTGCTCCAGAAAGAATAAGTTCTTCTACCATCTCTCCTGTCACCACATTGCCTGCCTAGACAGAAGGAACAGTATCACATACATGGTAGATTTCAAGACTACTGCAGAAAAGACTAATGATGATAATGTAGGGAACTATGTAGAGTCAGAAAGAATACCATTCACCATACTGTTTGTTCATTGCGCAAGCCAGAGAGATTAAACAAATCATACAGGTACATTTTCAAGTCCAACAGATTTCATGATTGATCCAGTTAACCCTGATTCTTAAGATCCCATCAGTATATCTGCTTTATCTTCCATCTCCCTAATCCTCACAGAGAGGCTCTCAAACACACCATTCCTAACTGTAAAGCTATACAGCCAAACTTCTCCCTTACACAGTACAACTCTCCTACCTCTCCTGTCCTGCCTATCCCTCCTGAACAGCCTATAGCCTCCATCCCATTTCCCTACCTTACTTAGTGAGAAAATGTTCTGATCTTATTTTAAACCCTGTCAAATCTCTATTTCCTTTAGGATTCAGTATTTTGATTACTGAAGGAGTAACAAGGTATTATTCCGGCCATTTTGTACACTGGCGGCAAAACTGGTATGTATATTCAGACTATGCAACCCTGCCCTGACAAGTGGTCATGCTTAATGCTGCAGAGAAAGGCTGTCCTGACAAGAAGATGCTCCCTTTATCCTGCCCCAGAGCATCGTGTCTGCTGCACTGCCAGGTGACACTCTGACATGGGGGTGACATGGCCCCCCATGTGCAGCCCCATCTGCTGTGGAGATTTGAATTTAGTATCTAGAGATGCTCAGAAAACCTCTTACGTAATGATATTCCAGGACTGAGCAAGTGTTTGTAGCAGTACTAATATGGGAAGAGCAGGAGGCAGATCCTAAAATCCTTACTTTGTATTTTCTAAGTTTTTATTGAAACAAAACTGCTGAAGTCAACAGGAGCTACTCAGGGAATATGGGTAAGACCTATTCTCCCCTCACTGATTTTTGGCTCTTATTTCACCATTTATTTGTTTTTACTGAATTTTACTTCCCCCTTTTATTAGTCTGAAACAGCTGACAACCCACCATCTGAAGCACTTATAAAAACAATGATACTGTTAGGCAGCAATTTGTGGTCTATGACACAGGACCACTTAACTTTGCTCAAAACTGCACAATATTGATTAAAAATAAAATGAAAGAAAATAGAACAGACAGGAAATAAGGAATATGTAATAGGTACATTGTTTCCAGCTAAGTGCTGCTTCCTTTCTGCTTAGTGGTAATTTGTTATACTAAGTGTTGTGCACTCCAAGGTGAGGTGACAGCACACTGCTTACAACACTAAAGAAGTGATTTACATCTGGAAGACAGATGACTATCTATGCAGTATAACATGCAGCACATTAGGACTTGGTGAAATACTGGAGCACATGCAACAAATTCATGATGAGAAATGAATGGGTATTAAAGTCAGTGGCTCCATGAGATTTGGCATCAAATACATATCTAACTTAAAACAGCAGTGTTTCTTATTAGCAGAGCACAGTGGGTTGTCAAACTGTCTCTTCAGAAATGCAAACTAGACATTTAATGCTAAGTTATTGCTAGAGAGGTTGGAACTCCATATTGTTGATTTAAAATGATCATCCTAGCAGGAAAAAGCCCTTATGTCCCCAGCATACATTTTTTCTTGGAATGCATGTACACACATAGGTGGTTTCTGTCTTTCTGAATCTGCAGATCCCTGACAAATTTTCAGGGAAGACATGGAGCTCTACATAGCAGATTTCAACCTGCCAACAACAGGCATGCTTCTTCCAGGTATCTTTTGCAGACCTCAGACAGCACAAAAAAAGCACCACTACATGATAGTGACAGTTACCTGTATGTGAAGAGACCCTAGTATCACAGCTGAAGAGCAGGGAAAGCCATTTTCTCACATTCAGCTGAACTCTACTTCCACTGAAAACAATGCTTGCTTTACCATGATGACAGCAGGACAGCTGAATAGAGGCAAAAGGGCTTTTGAAAGCCCCACCTGTATGGTAAAGCCAGAATACTTAAACTAAAAAAAATGTGAAAAGATGACTATTGAAAGATTGAGACTACAGAGGTGAAAATCCCTTAAAACAAACTAAGAATATAAAGCAAATTAAGTAATTGTAACTTGTACAAAGAAGCCACTACAGACCATACATTTTGTAGTGTATTTGGGCAAGTAGTCAGGAAACACAGTAATTGGCAGAAGTATTGTATTAGTGAGAACCATGCTCATCTTACAGCTCATGTATCAATGTATTTCTAATCTGCTGCAAAACTGAATTTTTGATACAACCCAGTAATTACCTTACTGTTAACCTAACTTTGGTACCCCTGGCAGTAAATTTAACATTATCAGTAACAACTGATCAGGTAAAGTCAGGCAAACTACCGTGCTTTCAGTGTAGTCAGTTATCAGGGGCTGCAACAAATTACCATGCCTGTGGGCTTGGCCTTACACACTCAGGGCAACATCCCACTGTACTGTCATTCAGTGTGAGGTTTCAAGTGAGTGACATCCTGGCTCATTGTAGCACTATCCAGGATGACTGTACTGTGGGTCAGTCCTGAGGGAAATCCTGGCCTCAGGAAAGTCAAAGAGAGTTTCACTACTGACTTTAATGGGATCAAGATTTCACCTAACACGATTATAAAAGCTACACCTTCTCTAACAGAGATACAAAATTAGTGAACACAGTAGGGCAGTGCCTCTGAATTTCAGTCAGGCATTTGATACAGTGCCTCATAAAAGCCTGCTATAAATATCGACTCACACTGACTAAGACAGCAACACTGCTGCACTGATTGAAATCTGCTGGCAAACGGCAATGGATCAAGCTGAGGAGAAGTATCTGTGACAACAGTTCTCAAACTTTCTTCTTGTATCCTAGAGGAAAGCACAGTCTGTGCCTCCACACTATCAGAAACACTGCCAAAGGACACTTCCCACCCACCAAAGCAAGGGGTGATTTACCGTAAGATGGAGAGATGATGCCCTTTGTGACAATGAGGTGGGTGTTTGCACTCAATATTGTGACTGACCCTAAAGACCCTCAGTATCTTAACTGTCCCCCACCTGGCCCCTGCTCTGAGACCCCAGCCCTGGTGGACACACCATGACTGCACTGACTCTGCTGCGTGCTCCAGAAATAAACAGGGAGCAGTATGCATAGGCTTCTCTGACTGAATTCTGCCTCTACTAAGGCCCTGAAAAGCTCTGCTACTGACTTCAAGAGAAGCAACAGTTTCTGGCTCATGCTGTTCCCCTGTGCTCCTGCTTTGTGATTCCACTTGCCTCCCTCTCTGGCTCACATCTGCAGGTGCTACTGCATCTGCAAGTGTGCTCCTGCCCCAGCCTTTTCCTTCCTGCCATGCTCCACATTCCTCTCCCTAGGGTTTTGTCTGGATAATGAACAGAGAACATTATGAAAAGAGAAATTCAGGATAAAAACTTGGCAAAGCTTCCTGGCAAAGATATCTTAGCTTGCTAAACAGACTTCCAGTGAAATGGAAGAACCCTAGTGTCTACAACTATACTAATAAGGACTACGCTTACTGTAATTTAAGTCTCTGACCCTTCATGATATAAAGTCTCTGACCCTTCATGATGAATGTCAACTGAAGTTTTGCTTTAGACTCTAGTAAGTAGGCAGAACACAAGCACATGATGCTGTGCTACAACAGAACGCCCCACTGGACCATTACTCGTGATTCTGGGGGCAGTGCTGCATTCATGGTACTCTCAGGAGACTTGAATACTGCTTCTTCCTCCATCTTCAGTCTAACAAGTTATTTAAGGCAAGTCATGTTGTACCTTTGTGCCCCTGATTGTTTTCTTTATCTTTTGTGTTCCCTGGAGAAACTGATCTTCTTTGTAAATTAATAAGAAAGGCAGGAGTGTAAAGGGCTTGTGTCAAAGCCAGCAGGAGAAAAATGAGGTAATGTGATAATAAAAGCAAGTATCTAAAAAGGCAAAACCGTTCCTTTGAAAGGCTGTTACACAAGAGACATCCTCCATCTGCACTAGAGTACCAGCCACAGACATTACTACGTTAACCACAGTTGCTTTGGTCATCACCTTTCAGTCTCAGAGCTGAACTCATTAAGTGGCCCCTGGGAACAGACATTCCCTGAGACCCAGGGTTGGGTTACTCTTATGTACTGCACTGCAGCTGACTGTGAAATGAATGGTCATGCTGAGGAAAGCAAACAAGACAGCCTGCAAGGTCCTGGAGATCACTTTCCGTTATGAGAAACCTTCTGTATTTATATAGCTATTTAACTGCTAATCCTTTTGTTTGAAAGCCACAACAGCAGAGAACATACTGCAGGCATAGCACAGAAACATCAAAGCAGACAGAACAGGAAGGAGCAGGACATGTCTTCCAGAGTACCATAAAAAGAAGCCTAGAGGAGCTCCTGCATTTCATCCAGGAATAGCCTCAGAAGACCATTCTGGCACAGAGCGTAAACTCAACTCATTTGGAAGTGGGGTTAAGATGTCTGTCCCTACTTGAATCAGAGACTTTCAGGGACTGCACAGACTCTGGAGGATTTGGAACACAGAAGGTTTTTTAACACCCCAAGTTTGTGAGCATGCTCTTAGAACTAGAAATTATCCCTGTTCAGGATGTGAAAAACATAAGCCATACTGAACCACATTCAGAGGAAGGAGCTACGATCAAAGAAGGCAACTGAAAAGGTCAGGGCTGTAGATGCACCCAAGGAGGTGGTGGTGTCAGAACAATAAGACTTGAAGTAGCAATAACCTTAGTCACAGAAACGGAGAAACTAAACAGGTAGCTCAGCAGATGTGGGAGGTGGATGAAACTGGGTTAAGGACCTTGGACTAAAATTTGGGCTAGATACCCGACTTGGACATTGGCCTCTGGGCAATTCATCTTGGTTGAGTTCCCTCCTCAGTTAGCAGTCTATGTGGAGATGGGGAAGGAGGAGACATACTGTTTTCTTTCCACTTCTAATTGGAAGATCTATTATTTTTAACTATGTGGTTTAAGCTCCCTCCCACAACTCTTCAAGTCAAAGACACTGGGGTAATCATGTCACCAAGGACAATAATTCAGATCGAAGGCAAAGGAACAGCTCCTTCCTGTTCCTTAGCAGTGAACATCAAGTTGAAAGCTCAAAAATCCTACATCTATCATTTCATGTTTCCAAAACCTCTCCCCAAAGCCATGGGAAATATGGCCATACCAAAAAGGTTCTCCCATCTGCTGGTAGCTGTTGAAGGATGCCTATTCCTTAGCTTATGGTAATCCAGAACCCCACAGGCATTCCAGCCCACTTCCATTCTCCAATGCCACCATCATTCAGAGGCAAGAACACTTCCTCTAACATGCGAGGAAGGAATGCACTCTTCCCTGAGCTGCCTGAACATGCGGTTCCCTATTGAACTAAGTCAGAGTACGCATATATGACCATTTTTACTTCACATTTACTTTAGATGTGTGAAGCGGTGCGTCTGGCATGAAAAAGTGAGAAAGTGTTGCCTAAACACATGATTGTGGGGTTTTTTTTTTTGCTTGAATAAAGGCTGGTAATCTCATGAAGAGTCTACTGCTTGTTTGAGAATTTCTGCTATTCTCATGGAACAAATTCAGACCCATTTCTTTAAGGGCCCTAGGAAACAAGCAGGAGAAGTAGGGTTCTGCTGTAAGGAGTCCTGTGTCAATGCAAACATCCTACACTCCTGGTGCAAAAAAAGGCTGAAGGAAATATGGCATTAGCACTCTAAGAAAGGATAGTAACATCACAGAAGGTACATGAAAAGCCCCAACATTGACTGTTTTGCTCCCTGATGACCCTGTCCACAATTGCTCTGTTCACAACACCCCTATGAATTTTATCATAGGCAAAGATTAGTCTACATTCAGCTGCCTTCATAGTGATCTTATAGATGAAAGAGCCATTGGCCTCTATTGGCCAGAAACGCTGATGCATTCCCACAGCAAACCTCTTGATTTGGATCACCAAAATAAACCTATATACTCTATAAGTCACGTCTGGTGTGGGAAGGAGGATGCAAGTAGTAAAAAAAAAAAACTGGATCTACCCAGCCTGCCATGCCACATCAAACTGTTGTATGAGAGCACACACTGAACATTCCCACAGAAATTATCAACAGTGGAAGACTGACAATGGCAACATGTTATTAAACAGCCACCATTTGGCTCAGAGTCAACATCTTGCTGCATTTAAAGGGTACTGAATAGAGCTGTCCGCACACATTTGTCTGGAAGGGTTTTGAGTCAGACCTTTCTTTCCTTCTCTCTTTCCTCCTCTCTTCAATTCCCTTTCATTAAATGAGCACTCAGAGACTGATGGAGCTACCACTGAGGTGCTGATTCCTACCAACCAAACCCTGGGCCCTATTCCTGGACAGAATTCCCACACACCCCCTCAACCCTTGCTACACACTTACCATAATGGTGTGATGTGGGAACAGGGCACGGACAGACTTCACAAACTCCACAAAATGCTCTGAATAGCCATTTGCCACATCCAGGCAAATGTATCTGATAGGTGGAATGGCCTCCAGAATACTTGTTAACTTGTCCAAATCAGCTTTTCCGCTACCTGAGCTTGCTGCTACATGCTAGAAAGACAGGGAGAACAAAAGAGAGTAGTAGCTTGTCAAAACCGGCATAAACACACACTTCATGTATCTTTACCTGCATAGTCTTGGGACAACTTGTGCTGGAAACTAGTGAAAATCACATTACATACTACAAAATAAATACCCTTCTGCAAATATTAGTATGTCGTTCTGTTTCAGTTTAAGGCTCTAAAATAAAGCAAAATTAGCATTTTTATCAGTTCTTAATTCACAACAAGGTTCTCATAGGCAAATATGATCACCTGAGGTGAATGAAGGCTCAGCTGTACTCATACTAACACAAACACAAAAGAAGTCCTTACTTGGTATATTTCCAGGAAAGCAAAATAGCAAAATCTGTGGCACTGACAAAAGTGGAATCTGGGTCTTTTAAGTTCACCAAACACACCCTTGAAATCCAGAATCACAGAACAGTTGAGCTTGGAAGGGACCTCTGGAGATTGCATAGTCCAACCGCTTGCTCAAGCTACCATTTAAAACAAACAGATTTCTTCCTCCTTTGTCTTCCTGTAAGTTCTTTCCAATAGAAAAATAGTTTCCACAGCTACTGGCTCACAAATCCTCTGCAGAGACCCAAGGTCACAGAGCAAGTCACTATTTAATCACTAGGAGATTCTACTCATAATGGACTCACACAGCTATTCTTTTTAAACCAGGACAAGCCACTTCCCTTGATGCATATAAGAACAGCAAATATCTTCATTCCTCAAAACTTCATTTGACAACAATATTCCCAAGAGACTCCAGTGTATGTGAGTTCAGAACAAAGCAATAAACCATAATAATTTATAGTATGAAAATGTACCTCAAGGCATTCTGGGTGATTGGCAGCAAACAGTTTCCATTCTTCCAAAGAATAATGCTTGTGAATTGCAGTGAACATTGCATGCTAGCAAAAATAAGAAAACTGATATTAATGTCCAAATTAGACATCTTTCCCTCTGCTTGGAATAACAAGATACCAGAAATTCCCATTTTAAGTATAGGCTCCTCCTGCTTGAAAAAAGCAGTAACAGTGAGTAACAGACAAAACCACTCCAAAGAGCTTTTCAAAGGTAACTTAGCATACTTAGCTGACCTTTCGGGATCATATTTCTGATGTGTTTCATGAAGTTATCATCAATATTTTGAATGTGCTTAAGCAGTGCAAGAAAGTAATCTGAGTCTTGAGGACAGAGGCTAGTTAACTCATGACTCCTGACTGCTGCAGCTCTATCTAGTAACCTCCACTTTCAAAAATGTTGTCACTTAATAGTTTTTCTCTGGAAGGTTTGTATTTTCACAATACAAACCTCAAAAAATAAGCTCTAAAAGCTCCACGTGAAGCTGAGTTACACCCAAGATGGAAGCTTGCTGGTAAGCATCTCCACTAAAACTATCTTGTATCTGGAGCTGTAAAAGCACAGTTGCTTTGCAGTGAAACACCACCTTCTTGTTCTGGATTTTTTAACTCACGCCCCACTGCTCACCGACAAACATAGGTAAAAACTAACAAGGGCTGCTCACAATCACCCAGTGGCTTCCCAATTGTTGCAAAAATAGAATCAAGACTTACTTTTGCCATAACCACGGCCATTTCAAATGTCCCCACAGTGTCCATGTTTGCCACTATAATGGGAATTCCTGTGTATGTCTGTTTGGAGTTGCGGAAGGTGAAGGTCCGTGTAAGGTCGACCTGCAATGAATAGGAACACATTCTTTTAAGAAACTGGCTGCAATCTAACACGAGTTTTGCTACTGACTTCAGATACAGCAGGTTTAAATACTGCTTCTTAATTTTCCTCACATTTCCTGTTCTTCCTCCTTTCATTCTACTATTACATCATTTATTTTGCTACAACTTCTGCCTTCCAAGCAAGAAAATACAAAAGTAAAATAACGTTTTCTGTGTTAAAGAGTTCTCACTGGAGAAAAAGAGAATAAAAATTAAAAACAAAGCAAACAAACGAAAAAAAGAACACAAAGTCAGAAAGGATTGGAAAGAAAGGACACTGAGGACTGTGGATTATCTTATACAGAAGTAACCTCAGCTGTTTCTTTGGCTGCCCGAAAAGCCCAAGTTGTATTCCCAGCTCCACAGAAGTCAGAACTGGAACTCCCCCTGTGTCCAGAAAGCACAGAGGACTTTCTTCCAATCTCTAATATAAATGACAACGTAATAAAGTAAGCAAGGTTGACTACAGTTATCAGCACTCTTGCCATACATCATCACCAATCATACCCTGGCTTATTAAACCATGAAGCTACTAATTTCTAAATTAATTTCTTACAACTACATCATCCTTTAACTTCAAAGTTATTTCTTCTTCAGCATCCTGAAACAATCAGGCATTTGCAAGAGGTAATATCAAATTTAGATCAGTTCCCACTGGTCTACTTAGCATCTTGCAAAAAGAGGGTAAAAACTCTCTAAGAAACACGCACTGTTAAGATGTGAGGTTAGTCTCTTTAGTAACAGTGAAAATGAAGGCTCTTTCATAGTTTTATTACTCCTCACTTCAGCTTTAATCCAGGAACATTCAGAGATCTGAACTGAACTGCATCACCAGAAAGAAAGCAATATAAAAAAATGTAAGACTTTGATTATTTATTTACAACATGTGTTGAACACTGTCATACTGCAGGCTACATTATGATTGTTTAATATGGTGGGGGAGTTTATTCCTGATCTGTAAGAGAAAGAAGTTGGTGCCTCAGTGATATAGTGTGAAATGGGTTCTCATTTTATATAAGCTCATAAGGGAAGGGTCACTTCAGTGAACAAGCTAAGATACATCTTAATGGAGACTCATCCTTCTTTCCATTTACTATCAGAGAAGCCCAATTCTCTACCCATCACTATGACTTATTTATGAGAAGTTTTGCTGCAGAAAGCATGAGAAAATAGTATGAAGAACATAAGTATGAAACAGGTATGAAAATTTAATGCATTTTGCTTCACTTTAATCCTATTTATTAACTAAAACCAAGGGAAAAAAAGAGAGTATCACATAACCAGTTTTACAACAGCACCAGAACCACTGCTTTACATTTTTACAGGGGAAAAACATCTCTTTCAAATGGACTTAAGAAAGTAGAGAAAAAGAGCACACTGAAGAAAGGAGTGAGGCAAAATGAAATCTATGGAAGGCCATTACTCTTTCAGTGACTCTTACCTCCACTTATTCTAGCCTTTAAATGATTTCTTTTAGCCAGATGTCCAGATGGATTTCGTGCAATTTTTAACACAACTGATAATATTGCAAGAGCAGGCATTTATGAGGGATAACTGTGGAGTATCCCCTAATGAGGCTTTTGGTTTGTAAGAGTAGGAGAAATGGCACCCTCGGTTGGAGGTATTTATGGGGTGCCCTCATTCTCCAAAGAGCCAGTACCAGATATCTGGGAAGGGAACCTAAGAATAAGTCAAGTTTTGAAAGACTCTTTTCATAGCCTACCTTCCCAGGTCCCAGGAAGCTGATGTTTAGAGACCTTCAAAGACACAGGTCTCTCCCAGTCCACTGTAATAAATAGCCACTCATAGAGAAAGAACCTGCCTTGTGAATTTTCCATTCCTTCACACCTTTAGCCTCTCCAATACCCCACACCAATAAATTTCAAAGATGAATCATATGTTCCATAAAAAAAACCTTTGCATGTTAATTTTACATTCACTACTTCCTGCTTCTTGTTTTATGACAGTCAATAGCCACTTCTCAATTTCACCTATTCCATTCCACTCCTCACTTCACAGCCTTCTAGCATATCCTCCACAGCTGCTCCTTCTACTGAACAGTCCTAGTGTGTTCTGTTTTTATCTCATGTGGAAACCAGTCAATACTGCTGATCATCCTGGCTGCCATTTTCTGCACCTATTTTAACATATTATGCTGTTCTTGTTTAGTGATCACCAGAACTGTGTGCTCACGACGAACATACTGGGGAGCATCACAAAGCTAACTGGTTTTCCTTAGTTCCTCTAGAAGCACTTTTGGCCATCTCTTTGTCTCCTTCCTGAGCAGCGACAGCTAATTTATGGCTTGGTGTTCTATGCATCATGAGAAAATAACTTCTGACTCAAGGATTTCTCACCATCACTCAACAACAGTAGAATTTTCTTCAGAAAGAAAAAAAATGAGATTTATTTCCTAACTCCTACCTAGATCCTCAACATAAGAAAGCACTGGGATACTGGCTGCTCTGTTAAAGCTCCCTGGACTTATTTGAATTTACAAATTTAGATTAATGACTAGACTTTCCACAGGACACTTGTCTGGTGAATGGACAGCCTGCAGCAGCAAGTCCAGCAAAGAGAAGCACAGCAGGTATGTGAGTACCAAGACCCCACTGACAGATAATGCTGCTCCAACTTCAGTCACTGCTTTAGCCAATTTTGACACTTGAATTTAGGCTTCAAATTTTCTGGTATCCTTTCAAAAAGAGAAAGTGATCATGGAAAATGAAGACAGTACAAAGAATCAAAACCAAGTACCAACACAGCAGACCTTCAAGAAGAGCTGCAAACACCCCAAACCGCCTCTCTATGAAGCTGACTTAATCCTAGTTACTGCATAAAAAGCTATCCTTGCACAAAACAAGGCATTCACACCAGAGAAACAGACGCTTGCTGATACAAGGTTCAAAGCAGCAGCTTGCTGGGTAACAGGCACGGTAGTGTGCTGCCTCTGTTCCTCTGCCAGAACTATTTATTTATATTCTTGTTTTGAAGCAGACTGAGGCTGTCCGTTTTAGATCTGGCTTTCACAGACACTGTTTATTCCTGTTGCTACAGCCTCTGTGATGGTATCCAATTTCTTAACCTTCATCGGTTTTCACTGACCCGCCTCATGACATGCACTTTTTCTCATGTGAAAAGGGTTTAACAGTTCATCATACCCACCCGTTACACCCCTGCCATATCGGCTCGTGTTCCTCCTATCGTTTTCCCTTCCCAGCAGCCCTTCTTTCCACTGCCTGCAAGCAGCTAAATATACAAGACACTGCACTTGAAGGAGCCATGTGTCACTCGGTGGAGCACAGCTCCACCTGTTTGCCAGGCCAGCACACTGAATTTTGAAGAGAGACCAAGCAAATTGTCAGAAATGGCCTGCAGGCCTTAAGCGCAGTTAACTGCACCAAAAGAGAGGAGTTACTCAGCTGGGATGCCGTTCTTTGTGAATTAAAAACGACTACGAGATTACCTTTCTACCAAGAGGGGCTCTCCAATGGCAAACACTTTCATAACTGCAGAAAGTGTTGCTTAGTTGTTGCGTTCAAAATCCTTTGCGATAAGCCTGTAATAAACATCGCTACCCTCCTTCCTTTTCCAGTCTTGTCTTTCTTACCTCACCTGATTTGTCTCGGTCTCTCTCACAATTCTGCTTCCCCTGGAGAAAAGTTTAATCCTCTTTCCATCCCCCAACACGACGTAATTCCTTCATTAGTCAATCTAAATCCTTTGCTAACCTTGGGGTTATGTGAGGTAAATGAGAAGGCACCTTCAATCCCGAGGCGGCCATCTTTTTTTGTAGAGGCAATCCTCAGGGGAATTCCTGGGGTCTTTCCTGATCCCTGCTCACAAGTAACTACAGCAATATCCCAGCTAACAGTGGCCCCGGGCCACCAGGGACTCTGAGCCCCAGGCAGCCTTGGTGACAGAGGGATGGCTGGGATATCCCCACACAGCAGAAGGAGGCAAGGTCATGGGGGTTAACTCAAGTGAGTGTGAAACGCACCCCACATTTTCTCCTGCTGGGATCCCAGCCCGGCGTACGCTGTGCCGCGGGAAGCACTCCCCAGCATCTTCGCTGGTTGTATTTTTCATAAAGAGCACGTCAGTTCCTCTGTAACAGCACTGTCCGCGACCCCCGGGGCTGAAAGCGAAGGTGCCCGTCACTCCGCATCTCCCGCTTTTGCGGCCCAAGCTGCGAGGCGCATAACCGGACACCCCCCGGCCCGGAGGGGGGCTGGCAGAGCTGCCGGTTCGCCGCTGCCCCCACGGCAGGCGGCCCCCTAGAAACCGGAGATCACCCCCCGCTCAGCGCCGCAGAGGCACCTGTCAGGAGCAAACAATCCGCCCTTCTCCTCTTCCCCCCACCCCCCTCTGTATGTTTGCTGAGGAGCGGGGGAAGGACAGCGCGGCACCAGCTCCAGTGCCCGCCGCCTCCTGCTCCGCCGGGGCCGCGGCTCGCCTCTCCGAAGGGCGGGGTGGGGGACACACACACACCGCGGGCTCCGCAACGCTGGCCTCCTCCTTCCAGCAGCGGCGGTATCCCCCCCAGCCACGTAGAGGGCGTTTCGCTCGGGGAGGGCATAGCTACGTTAGAACGAAGAATAAAAATAAAGCGGGCGGGAGGGGGTTAAGGAAGTTAGGCTCTGAGACCGGGGAAAAGCATGCTGGGTTCGAGTGCCCCCACCTCTGATCGGCTTTTGAGGCTGCTTCTTTTAGGTCTGAGCAGGACATCTTTAAAGTCCAGTTTGAGGTCTGCGTCTACCCGGGGCATCTTGCTGGGGTGGCGGGGTGCGGGGATCGAGGCTCTCCTGGCGGCGGTGGCGGCGGTCCCTCTGCGCTTTCTCCGCTCCGCTGCACCGCGCCGCCTGCAGAGCCGCACCGGCCAAAGCCCGCGGGCAGCGCAAGAAGCCTATTTATAGGGCTCGGGGAGCGCGGCGGCGCGGCCCAGGCCCCATCGCTTTATGAGGAGAGGGTTGTTTTTAGCTGGGTAGCCGGCCACCCCTTGCCCTTTATCCCGCCGCAGCCACCCCTGCGTCTCCCCCGGGCTGGGCGCTCTGTGTGTGGCGATGGAGGAGGGGGGGAAACGGGGACAGGGCGCCCCTCCGCAGCCGCCCGTGAGGAGCGAGGCGCGGGCACCACCGGCAGCACAACCTCCTTAAGGGCAAAGCAAGGGCAGAGGAAATGGCAACTCCATGTGACCGAGCGGGCGGCCGCCGCGTGTGGGAGCCCGGCGCTCCGGGCGGTCGCTGAGGGCTGGGCTCACATCTTGCCCCCCACACAAACCTTTCACCGCCCCGGGCGACTGTTAAGGACCGACGGTTCGGACCAGCCGCCGTCCGGAGCAGGGGCGGCCCTGAGGCGGCCTCACCGACGGAGGCTGGCGGCGCTCCCCAAGTTTTTAGGGTGGCTGCTGCACGGCCCCAAACTCTGCCTCCAACGATGTAACGGGGCAGCCTTTGGTCTCCATGGGTTCTGGTGGAAACCCGACTGGGCCAAAGCCTGGCCCACTCCCTGACCAGCATCCTCTGGTAGAACTGAGCGTTGCCCAGCTCCTGGGACTGTCAGAACTGGTTCCCACCTGCCTGCAGAGCAAAGGGCTGGTACATGGTTTTGGCATTATAAACGCTGAGAAATGTGCAGCTGGTTGGTCATAGGAGAGCAGCCACAGCACCAGCCACCTGGAACTGCCTCTACACAACAATCTCCTATTTTAGTACGTTTAGAGAAGGAACAGGGAGGGGTTTTTTTTTCTTACCCTCCATAGCGTGGAGGAGCCTGACTTGTAACTTTATATCATCTGTTTTCAATGGCTAGCCACTGTTCAATATGCAGCCGCAAAACCACCATAGCAACAGGGTTACACATGCTGGGTCCACGTACATCCATTGGCACAGGGATCAATATGATCAATATCATATACCAGGTATCATATGAGGTGACTTTCATGGGAGTTTTGAGCCTTAAAGTCTAATTAATTATGAAGTCAGTGGGCTATAAGATTTGGACTTCTTTGGTATTCACATGAGCTAAGCCTTGTCAGTGACTGGAAACTGAAGCACGGGAGGGTCGTGGTTAGCTTCCCTTCCTCAGCCGCATTGCAGGATGAGGCAGTGCTCTCTTCATTATCTGGAAGTTGCACACGTCTGGTCAACACCCTGCTTCCAGAATAGTTTTTACACCTCTTTGCCAAGTGTCCCAGATAATTAGATGTGCCAAATCATGAGGCCCAGGCTTTACACATCAGGCAGGGCATTTGAGTGCTTGCAGTTTTGAATGTGGTTTCCAAGAAGCCCCAAGGCTTCAAAACTCCAGGTGATGTTGCAGGAGTGCCTTGTCACTGGGGGCATTTCCCATAGCAATATTACAGTGGAATGCACTTTACAGTTAGTCTAATTTGCATAACAGAAGCCATTCACTTGGTGGTTTTTTTTCACTGACTTCAACAACATACCAGAACTGCTAAAATGTATCCTTCAGACAGATAGCCACATCTCCCAACGCTTAGTGTTCAGTAATAAATTAACATTTTGTTCAGGAGCAGAGAGTACTGATGAGAATGGGTCTGTGAAAGTGACATGCCTGTAGCAGAGTACTGAGAATGGAGAAAAAACAAATGCCTTCTGTCTGTGCCTGGCACCATGTCTTCTCTTTACCCTCATGGCAGGCATGTGATGCTGAGAAGAAAGAAAGAAGCCACTGCGCTGCACTGTGAATTCAAAAGGTCAGCGCCGTCATGGGGAGTAGGAGATGGAGGCTATCAGTGATACTTGTAAGCCCCAGAAAATCCATGCCTCATGCTGTTTCTCATTTGTGGTATTTTTAGCCTCTACTCACAGAACTCATGGTGCTATTTTTCTCTATCTGCTAATATCCAGTCTTTTCCACATGTACACATATTAACAGACTAGTTGAGTCTCTTAGATCAGCTTTTGTGTTCTGGAAAATATACAGAGTTTGAAGTCCTTCAGTTTCTTACTTCAAGATACATTTTCTGTAATTAAAACTATAGTTTCTTGCTGAAAAAACTCTGCCTTTTTAAGTATCCTTTCTGAAGAATCACACTGGCATCACAACCAGAAATGAAGATCACCTTGTTATGCATTTTTGCTATTCCTCTTTACACCTGCAGTCATCCCATATTACCTGTTTGTGTCATGGAATAGAGTTATTCAGCCAAGCTGTATGCAGTTTTAGTAACTACAAGCCAGTCAGCCTCACTTCAGTGCCTGGGAAGGGGGTGGAACAAATAATCCTGGAAAGCATTTCCAAGCATATGAAGGAAGAGAATGTGACTGAAAGTAGTTGGCATGAATTTACGAAGATAAAAATCATGCTCAGCTAACCTGATTACCTTCTATGTAGAAGTAACTAGTTCAGTGGATGAGAGGAGAGCAGTGGATATTGTTTATTTTGACTTTGGCAAGCCTTTTGACAGAATCCCAATAACATTTTCATAGACAAACTGATGAAGTGTAGACTCGCTAAAAAATCCATGAAGTGGACTGAAAACTGACTGAACTTCTGGGCTGTAAGGGTTGTCATCAGTGACCCAAAGTCCAGCTGGAGGTCAGTCATTTGTGGTGTACCAGGTTAATTGCATATGGTACTAAAAATGCCTGTGTTATCCATGCTCGGTTTTCTTCTAATTTAAATAAGAGCAATTTCCTCACTAACTCCTTGGTATTGAAAAAGGTTTTCAGTGATAACCTTAAAGTATGAGCACTTCTGAGCACCAGAAACATCTCTAGGATGAATGCTTAATAAGGTTGACATTATTTATCAACAGAAATTCTGGTTACAGCAGATGCACAGCTGACACAACTGATGGCACATGCTGACTTCCTTGCTGTGGTTCTGAGGAAAATACTATAGCCTCATGTAACTCCATACAGACATCCTGTAGCATAAATTAACATGTATGTTTAAGGAATATGGTGAGCAGTAGCGAATGCATTGCTCAGTTGGCAAGCTCTCCCACGAACTGTGTCAACTTCCCAGCAAAATCCCGTATCTGGAAAGAGCAACATACTGCAGGACATGTGTGATGGCCAGATTGGACAGGGCCTTGAGCAACCTGGTCTTGTGGAAGCTGTCCCTGCCCATGGCAGGAGGTTGGAACTAAATGATCTTTAAGGTCCCTCCCAACCCAAACTATTCTGTGATTCTGTGATCGTAAAGATCTTTCACTGTTAAGGAGAAGTCGTATGTTTGACGAAAGAGCCTGTTTTTTCTTATGAGAGATGTAAATTGCTTTTATTATTCTGTATGAATTTGGCCCTTGTTTACACTGAATAACATTTCCCAGTGAATGGATCAAGAGGCCTAACTTAGCAAACCCTGCAAATGCAAGTGGAAGATTTCTTTTGGCTGTAGAGATAAGGCTTTTTTTTTTTTCTGAACTATCACTAGTGTTACAGCATCTACACTGAGGCTTTTGCTGGCTTTGATAGCCATCAGAAATGGGAGGAGTGGGGCTGACACCCCTAACCTAACATAGCTGTGACAAGCAGACTTCAGCTACATGCATGAAGATCCTTTGTTTTGAAGTGAAGAAACTCTTTTGCCGTAAGTAATTTTATTAAATTCAAAGATCTTAGGGTAGACCACTGATCACAAGCTGAATCCCAGGCCCCCACTGTTCAGTAGGACAGTCTCATTCAAGGTACAGTTTACTTAGCAGTAAGTGACAGTATCCATTTCCATCTGATTTCAGCAGGTTTCAATTGTTAATTAGAAGTAATCACAGCAATTAATAATTAATGAGACTCTGACCTTCCTTGGCTTATGATACACATCTAAGAGTCTGTCTGTGCTGATAAATAAAATGGACAACACCCAGTCTCTGTCCCTTCAAGGCAAGGGACAGAATGTTTCTCACATATAGCCATTTAGATGCCATATGTGAGCTTCAAGGGGTTTCACTCATACTGCATATTGGAAACAGTCTAGTGCTATTCCCTGAACTGTCCTCAGACTACCTGGAGGAGTGCTGCCTGTCTAAGTTGTCCAACAGAGCATGATATTAAATAAAGGGTATGAACTGTTGTGTGGTAGAGCTTATGGCCATGCACTAGCCCTGTTTGGTTTATTGTAGGGCTTCACTGTTACAAAAAAGGGACAAAGCTTGTTGTGTACTATCCACTGCAAACTGCTATTTCTGTAAATTACATCCAAGGTCTACATACTGTAAAAGAAAGAGAGATTCTCTCCATGGAAATTTTAAGCCATCTCACAGGTATTCTGCTGCTGCTACAGAGCTTTATATACAGAGCCAGCATCTTCTCAGTGGTGCTCACTGGCAGAATGAGAAGCAACAGGCACAAACTGAAACCGATAAAATTCCATCTGAACATAAGAAAACACTTTTTGTCCTGTGAGGGTGGTGGAACACTGGTACAGGTTGCTCGAAGAGGTCATGGTGTCTTTGTCCTTGGAGACATTCAAACCCTGACCGGACACAGACCTGGGCAACCTGCCTTGGCTGACTGTGCTTGAGCAGGGGTTGGACTACATGATAAGAGGTCTCTAGCAATCTCAGCCAGTCTGTGATTCAGTGGTTCCATACATTAGTTTGTCAGTATGGGGTATCTTCCATTGCAAAATCTCAAGTGCCTTTAAAAATTCTGCTAATGGAGAAGGGTCAGGATATTGCCTCTTTTAACGCTGGTAACTGTGGATGTTTCGGTTTGGTGCGCAAAGCCTGTTTGAATAGGCACACTGCTACTGATGTATGAAAGAAACTAAAAGCACATCATTAATAAAAATATAAAATAAAATAAATTATATAACCAAAGACATTTTCTTTATTTTCTGGGCTTTCCTTGCTATTTTTATGTTGGGTGGAAATCTTGCTACAAATTTTAGACTGGAAAAATGTTTCTAAACTGTGAGCATCTGGTAATGACTAGCTTTCAAACCCGATTTAATCTTTACTTAAGGAAAAACTTAGTACCTTTGCTGCCTTACTGCGCCATCTACAGGTAAAAAAAACCCTCCGTGTTGTTGATATTACAAAATGTTATTTAAGCAATTAATAAATAAAAATGGAATTTTCCAGTTTTAATCTCAGTATGAGGGGTTTATGCCTTTTGTGTTTAAAATTACATTTTCCACAACTTTAAATACCTTGTATGCTTTGGCCAGGAAGTTTTGCTTCTGCAGAACTTTAGATCTTATCGTGGGAAAAACAGAAAAGATTTGCTTGTACCTTTATTGCATTTTAGGAGTTTAATGGGATGTAGATGAAAGCTGCTGCATCAGTTGCCACACACTTTTTCATAAAGACACCTGCATATGGATTATGATTAACATCAACACGGTTGTCACCACTATGTGTTTTTTACCTGTAATTCCTCACTGTCTGAAGTTAAAGATATTCTTAAAATGACCTAGAAAATGTTGCCTCTTTTTCCCACAGCAAATAAGACCTTGCTAAATATTCTCATCTATCATTATGATAAATTGGGAAGGCAAAATTTAATGGCTGAACTTGTAAAATATGCACTAGCTTCTGCAAGGCTGTTTAAAAAGTGAATACTATTAGCATGTGAGGCCACAGTAGCTATTAGCTTATATCTACCATGTGGTTTGGGTG